TAGTGGAGGACGACTAGATGATTCGGTAAAAGGGTGAGTGGGGTGATAAGGGTTAAGAGGATATAGCGGGCGTAGCGGTGCAAGATGCAGGGTAAGAGGTATGAGGTAGGAGGGTATGAGGGGAGTCTTCGAATTATGTGACAATCAACCCAAAAACAAAGTCGAAAAGAGAAGTGAATTCGAAGACTGGAGAATACAACCAAATAGCTACAGTATTTATACCCAAATCCAGTCTGAGTCATATCTACAACTAATGAGTCATAGGGCTATGTACCGCATGGAGCACTGGTCATGGGTTGTAGTAGAACCTCCCGGAGCATATGTCGCGCAGCCTCGAATCGATAGAGATAACCCCTGGAACCCCTAGCCCGGACCGTCTGATGCTGTGATCCGTGATAAGATAAGTCGTGCCAAGATAAGATAAGATCGCCGATGATAAGATGAAAAAGAGTCGAATTATGACATATACGTTACCATTTCATCCGCGAGAGATTAATCTCAAACGAGATTTCAGTTTCCCACATACCCACGGACGAGAACACTGCCGATATATTCACGAAGGGAGTACCCCGACCCAAGCACGAATACCTCGTATCGCTACTCGGGATGATTCGAGCTTGAGGGGGAGTATTGAGTATTAACAGGAATGCTGTGCCTTTGCATCAAGATCATTCCCGAATGTTCTCAAAGCATCTTACTGATGCACGACTCAGTCAGATACAAATATATAAGGCAGTAGAATTACTTTTCCAATACATGACTATGTACTATATAAATCAGGAGAAATCCCAAGCACAATATAGTTTTTATCCCACTCAGATTCTCATCCGTTCATCATTCTCCAGTCTTCAAATTCACTTCTCTTTTCAACATTATTTCTTGCTGATTATCACATGCTTCCAATCTCCACGCACGCTTAAAACCATTAGTATTGATGGTATTGTATGATAAGCTATGGACAGACCATCTTTAAATCGCTGAGATTGTACAAGGATATCATCCGCACTACCACTGTTGTTGTCTAGATAGTTCTTGATACAGCCTTTACAGTAAGAGCAATATTGAGTAGCATTCTGTTTGTCACCCTTGTAAAATTGCTTCCAGTACTGCTCTGTGGACATGGAGACCGGCAGATGGTGATGACAATCATAGAGATTGAAAATCATAAGAGATTGATGAAACACGTGACTGATCACCTCACGTGCTAGTATAGTCACATGCATGCTAAAGGCCTCAAGAGGCCTATAGCGCAACACAAAAAGTCTATAGGCCTTCATATAGCCCTCTAATAGCCCTATAGCCTTATAGGCCTTAGGCCTTTGGGCAAACACTGCCAGTGACAGACCATGAGATGAGTCAAGTCAGACGTGACCAGTGACTTGACTCTACGGTCGCGTTACTACAGTAATGTACAATAATTGTGCTCGAGGTCCTAGGTCCATAGTACGAAGAACCTTGGTGCACGGGGTCCAGAACATGTGACTTGGATTGCCGTACACGGATCACTGTCAAATGGCCTCGGTTATCAGCATGTAGTTCCTGGCCTCCATAGGTTTCATAGCGGGGCTACCGGTGAGCCTTTTCAGACGGCATACAAAGCGATGTTTCGCGCGTCATTCTATATCAGTGACAATCTTCAGAATTTGCGAGTCTCTGAGCTCAAACGGAGGCATTTCGGAAAGCACGCGGAAATGCGATATTTCGCATTGAATCGAGAGCTACTCCGAGGACAACCTTCAAGACAAACGCAGTGCACACAGTATGCCAATCGACTATTTAAGCACCAACTCCACCCTTGTATGGCTTAATCGTGATGCGCAGACCGCCGGTGGAGACCAGATCCGCCTTTCCACTTGCCGAAACATACGAGATGGGACGCTGGAACGTTGTGCTGATCGCGGGCTTGACCTCGTCGGAAGCGGGGAAGAAGACGAAGTGGCGCAACAGGCCAAAGAGAACTGCCTTTTGCCTTGGGAGAGGAGCGGTGTGTCAGTGAATCGGAGGCGCAGGACAGGACAGCTGGAGACGAGAATGGCACGCACTCGACAATGGTGAACTTGAAGCCCATGCAGCTGTGCGGGCCGGCGAGGAAGGTCAGCTGGTGCGCCCAGACTCCTGGAATGGCGTGGACAGCTTCCGGTAGATTGTTCCAGCGATCGGGTCTGTGAGATCGTCAACAAAGGAACGAAGGTAGGCAGTAACAAAGGGCCGAATGCACCTGAACTCAAGCGCGTCCTCTCCCCAGAGCTCCTTGCTAGTGTTGATGGCCAAGATCGGGATAGTGCAGATCTGGCCCTTGCGGATCCTGTTGATTTTGAGATGCTTTTAGTACCACAAGTCTGTGATGATAAAAGAACGGAAACGAACGGAAGACTGTCATGTCGGACGCCTTGACGGTCGATGTACGGCTTGCTAAGCGGCAACACATCGTCCGCAATCGCCGCACGCTGAGTGCTGACGGCCGGGGAATATAACCGCATAGTCTCTCTGAGCACATTCTCGAGGAACGGGAATGCATCGAGCTCTTCCATGGTCGGGGTGTCGGTCGCAAGGGAGAGCAGCTCTTGACGCAGCTTTTCCTGAACAGTCTGATCGTTTGACAAGGCGTGCACCGCCCAGGCAAGCGCAAGGCTGCTAGTCTCGTGCCCAGCAAGGAAGAACGTAGGGATTTCTGCCAAACATGTTGATACTTGGTCTCCTCCATGCAGAGCAGCAAAGCAGGGACACTCACGGGCAATGACCTCGGCGTCACTCATGCGCTGGCTTGCGGGCACATCGCTGGACATGTTTGCCTTCATAAGAATCGACAATAAGTCGCGGCCCGATCCCAGCTCCTTAGACCCGAGTGCAGCAGATTCCGCCTTCGATTTTTCCATGATTTCCTTTCCTATGGCGTATAACTTCTTCTTTGCATAACGAGTGACTGTCCATCCAGGGAGTGGCTGCCATCCATGTCAACTTCAATTCTTTGGTCAACGAAAGTCACGCACAAGGGCCCGCAGCACCGGGATCGCAGCCTGTACGGCCTTGAAGGCGGCATTGAAGTTGACGTCGGGGTCGTTGAGCAACCGAGAGAAGACTGCGCTCAACTCAGCTTCGTCTTTGCCGCCCGACTTCAGGGAGTTGAACTGATATCCGAATCCTGCGAAACTCAGAAAGCGCGCCTAGCAATGCGTTCCGTGCGCTCTACGCACCAGCCTCTCCGATAATGTCCAGCGTAATCTGACGGAACCAGTCCGACACATTAGCAGTCAAGACCCCGTCGGCAGCAGCAACCTCTTTCGCTAGCACGTCGCACAACTCGGATTTCGCTCAGTCAAGTCATGGATGTTGACGGAACGCGCTCTTACCAAATTCCCTTTCTCCACAAAGATCTCATTCATCAAACGGAGCTGCTGAAGACCAAAAGCGGGGCTCTATCACCATGGCATTAGCGGACTTCCGACCACACGTGAACCGTTAGTAGACAAACCAGAATCTTGCGCTGAGTACCGGGCAGGAGTCGTCAGCGATCCGAGAGTCAGAAAATGAGCCATGGAATTTACCTGACGTTTGTGGGGATTCTGTTCGACCGCAAGAATTCCGTCTCCCAGGAGCACGCGCAGGTTAGCAAGCGCAGACTGCGACTTCTGGTAGATGGCGCCGTGGGAAAAGATGTGAGATACAGCTTTCAGATCCATGATGTAGAGATCGTCCTCCTGAAAGCCAGAGCGGGGTAAGCTTCAGAAAACCACCGTTGTTGATAACTCACGCCGAGGATGCCTTTGGCCATGAACGTTGGGCCGTATTGCTCTCGCCACTGGTCCGTGATACCCGGGACATCCTGCATAGACACGAGATCAAATCAGCGCATAAACGGCCTATTGCGGTACATCTGACTCACAAAGACTAATGCGAAGTGCCCCATGAAGAAATTGGCGCATGGCGGACCGTCTATGAAACGGAGGGGCGAGGTCCAGTTGGTGTACCAAACCTTGAGAGCGTAGCAGACAACGGATGCGAGCAGAGTAGCCACAGCGGGGATGAGGATGTTTGCGATCATGGCTGGAGTTGACTCTAATGAGAGAGTCAGCGCAGGAGGAAACTTTATATACAAATTTCTCGACCACACAGACGGACCGCGTCGTAAACTGAAATGACCGGATTTCCCAAGACTAGCACTTCAACGTTCAAGACCCATGCCGACGCTTAAACTACGAATGCCGAAAGGAGGTCGCCAAGAGAGATCCGTCAGAGAGAATGACCTCCGTAGCGGCAGAATTCCGCTTGCTTGGCTTCTGAGAGAGAAGACAGGTTGCCCCGAGGTGCCTTCTGTCACAACCATCACAGTGAGGGAGAGAACGCGTTCTGTGAGAGGCTGCCCACCGACGCACCTTGGGTGAAAGTCTGGTAGGAAGATTCTCATTGACGGGTCGGAGAGTCGGTGCAGTTCTCATGAAGGCGCAAGGGTACTATGCAGTCAGGGCCCGTTGTCATTGTTTGGTCCGATCAGGGAACGCTCGTGATGGCTCGCTTGAAGCGATCCGTAATCCTGAAAAGCATTTCTCAAGGAAGAACAGCCGTGTGGTGAATCACACCGTTCGCTCCTAGAGACGCGACGCGTGGCGCTTCGAGCTTCCGTCGCTTCATTTCAACGATGTCAGCAAGCAACTCACACCGGGCCTGTACGATATTGCAGCCACCGTCAGTGCTCGAACTGAGGCTTTTGCAGCAGCTTAACAACAGCATAACGCCGAGCGGACCACTAAAACGGATCCGGGATCACGCACAATATTCAGAGTGTCATCGTGTGCAGGGGACTCTAATCTCTTCTTTTACAACCCCACTTCATCGCTGCTCGCACAGTTATTTCGACTCCCTCTTTCACGAGGAAGTCAGGACATCCGCAAGCAATGATGCGTGGATTTTGCAATAAAGAATGTACTGTCCACATGTGAATGCCACGCTGTCCGTGTTTGGTCTCGTCCATCGTTCCATCCCATCGTGACCTGGCTAGTCAGCGACGCATCAGAAACAGACGGGTAAATCTACCTCAAGTCTTACTGAGCTTCTCTCGCTTCATTGCAGTGATGTCAGCAAGTAGTTCATACCGGGCCTGCGGGGTGTTCCAGTAACCGTCAGTCCCGCAATCAAGCCCAGTGCGGCTGACCGAGGATGTGCCATTGGGCGGAACCTCAACAACGGAACCAGGGTACCCACCCGATTCGCTTAAAAAGGGACAAAATTTCCACGAGATTCAAACTTTCTTTCTCTCCCATCCACTCTTCCGTGGCTCGCGCAACTGTTTCTACTCTCATCAATGTCTGAAACGCCATACACTATAGCCGTTCCAGACGAGGCCCTGGCCATTCTGCACCAAAAGCTCAAAGCTACGAGACTCCCGGACGAGCTTGATGAGGCGGCCTGGGACTACGGCGTTCCACTGGCGAACATCAAACGGCTCGTCGCCCGGTGGCGCGACGGCTACGACTGGCGCACGCACGAGGCCGCACTGAACGCGGAACTGCCCCAATTCACGCGCGACATCACGGTAGACGGGCACGGGACGCTCAACATCCACTACATCCATCAAAGGAGCGTAGTGCAGGGCGCGATCCCGCTGTTGTTCGTGCACGGATGTGAGTTTCGGGTTAGAATCGGATGTTCAAGTGAACTGACTGGTGCTTTTCCTCGCTAGGGCCGGGCAGCTTCTTCGAGGCGAGGAAGATAGTGCCGTTACTTGTCGCGCGTTCGAGCGAACATCCGAGTTTCCACGTTGTTGCAATCAGTCTAGCTGGGTACGGGTTCTCCGAGGCCCCTAGAAAAAAAGGATTCGCAATCGCGCAGCAGGCTGAGGTTCGTATCAGCAACGTTAGCATACTTATGTCTGCGAGTCTCACAAGGCAAAGGTTGGCCACAAAATCATGCTTGCACTGGGCTACAACGAATACGGTTAGATGACCTGACTCCAAACGTCTCGACTCTGACGAATTTATTCAGTCACACAAGGAGGCGACTGGGGCTACCTTGTATGCTGACTAAGGGACCATCTACAGCGTTTCCGCCTCATACTCTCGCAGATTACCCGCCGCATCGCCAAGCGCTATGGCCACCAGCACAATAAAGCTTGGCACACCAACTTCCCCTTGTGTGTAGCCCATGCATCGCCGTTCTTTGATCTCATTCAATCTAGGGGCCGTCCACCGACGCTTTACTATGAGCCGCTTTCATGGCTGGCTTTGTGCTTGAAAGGACTGACACAGGAGGAAAAGGCTGGCCTTGCGGAGACGGAATGGTTCAACGGCCGTGGACGAGGCTATTTCGCCCAGCAATCTACGCGACCTCAAACCGTGGGCTACGCGTTGGCCGACTCCCCCGTCGGACTGCTGGCCTGGATATACGAGAAGCTGGTAGAATGGACGGACCAATACCCTTGGGATGACGATGAAGGTGTGTGCTTCTTTATCCTTCGTGGTCTGCCAGTCAATTATGAGGACAGTCCTGACCTGGATATCTATCTACTGGTTCTCCCGTGCCGGGCCCACTGCGGCCGGACGCCTCTACTACGAGTTTGCAGAGGGCCGGTCAGATGTGACGAAGGACATCTATGGACCCGCAGATTACCCGACCATTCCGATGGGTATGTCTCATTTTCCCGGCGAAAAGGGCATTGTTCCAGTCAGGTATGTGTCCTCCATCGAGCACTAAACGTGCTCTCATCCACTGCATCTCTCTCTCTCAGCTGGACCAATGCCACCGGAAACATTGTTTACCGGAACAAACACGGGCGTGGAGGCCACTTTGCCGCATATGAAGCCCCGGATTCGCTTGTCCATGATTTGCGTGCGATGTACAAAAAGGGCGGCCCTGTATTTGACGTGGTCAAAGGACACAGCGGCTATGACTGAGGGCAGTGGGATCTGTCATGAATGCACTTGGTCAATCCGCGATGAATACTGGCAACCGCGGTACATGAGAATGTCAAGTGGCAGGAGTGTTGTATATGGACGAGACCGGACTATAGTGGGTACGGGCAAAGTACCATATTACGAGCCCTTTCCATATTCTCAGGTAAACACGGTCGACGAGAAATCCGTCTGGAGGGTTGAATCGTGTGGTTTCCGAGTGAGAATGTTATCAAGCAGCCAGAGTGGACCGCTGTCCAAAAAAAAGTTGAATGCATTATCCCAAGAACAGCTCAACCATCAAGTGTTAGTTAGATATTCGATCCAGTCTCCTTTCGCTCCTCGTGGGCAAGCGACACCCTTAGCAAAATGGTGTGCCGAGGAATATCCCGTTGTACGGCCCCAGGTGGTCGATGATGTTGCCGAACAAGATATTGGGCACGGACTTGATCTGGCACTCTGCGTCGGTGGAGTCGTCGTTGCCGGGGCAGGCGACGACCTTTTGAGTCGAGTCGTCGACGATGTGCTGAGGGAAGAAAGCATCATTAGTTCTGTCTAGGAGATCACTGAAGCTGCTCACGATTTCGCCTTTGGGGTGCGAGAAACCCAAGAAACGCCCTGGCACGATTGGGACCAAGTCCTGCCAAATTGTTCAGTGTCAAGGTCGAGCACCAGAGAGAGACTACGAACATTTTCATTGTTGACCCGTTTGAAGTCTGTGACCTTGGAGTCGAAGAAGGAAACAAACGCGTCGTCGCCCACGCGAGGCGTTCCAAATGTGACCGAGTTGACGTTCACCGAGTCCGGAACTGTCGACATTTCACTTGAAAATTCAAGAGTGTTTCACGAACACGCACGATTGAGCCGCAGAGACAACGAATCCAATACACTCAGCGCGCCACCGAGGCTGTGCCCCACGACCGTGACCTGTGTTGACCCGGTGGAAGCCAGGAGCTTCTTCACCTCGCTCTGGATCGCGTCCGCCGTCTTCGCATGTTCGTCACGGAACCCGCTGTGCACCTCGATCCCTGCGGGCGCGCCGGGGAAGAGCGTCGCGTTGAGGGAGCCCTTCAGCACGTTCAGGTCCGTCAGATCGGATTTGAGCGCGAGCGGGTCCGTGCCCTCGTGTGCGACGATGATGCTCTTGCTGGTCGGGTAGTAGCCGACGAAGACTGGGTTGGGAGGGTCTGATTAGAGTGTGTTTTCGATCGATCGTAGTAGGGGGACCGACAGAATTGGACCGCATTTCCCATTCCACCAGCGAGACTCGGCTTGAAGCCCGGCAACGCCGCGCAAGGAGCTAGCACCCGATCAGTCCCGGTTCACGGATCGGTAACCACTGGCATCGCGCACCTCCGCACGTCCAGCTCATCAGCTTGTCCGCCGGTCCACCTGCAGCCTGTCAGTCAACACATGCGCCGATACGGCCGCCGCGCCAATCAACATACAGTAGGTCGCCTGCAGGTGCCCCAATCAGCAATCGGACGATGTCACGAGACCCGGATGCTTACCCCAGCAAAGTGCACGAACGGCGTGAGCGCCTGCAGATCGTTCGCCGTCAGACTCGTGAGCGTCGTCGGAGCGAGCCGACGCCCGTTCCCCCCGCGCGCCATGGGCGCACCGACCACGGATCCTGCGGCCATCGCCAGGAGTGCGGCCAGGAAAGCGGATTTCATCCTTAAAAGTAGTTGCACGACAAAAGAAATAGGATTATGCGAAGATCGGGCGTCTGTCGTCAAGACAAGAACGCGATGGAATAAAGAGAAGAGAAGCGGGGGAAGAGAAAGAAGAGAACGAAGGAAACCCCAAAGAACAGCAAAGAAAGGGAAGCAGCAAGGAAAGAATGCAATCGTCGTCAAGCGGCCCGACGTTTTATAACCGCGCATACGCATCAAGACATGATGAACTGTGATTTGCAGTCGTGATTGGCGGGGACTCAGCGATGGTTGAAACACGACAGATCTTGTCTGGGCAGGAAGAAATCCGGAAAGGAGAAGATCCGAGGGCGCGGAATGACGGTTGTAGCCTTGTTGCACTGCAAAGTACTTGTTTTGTGACGCCGTTTCCAGAGCCGGGCTCATTTAGTATGGGAGGTTCCATCTGCGCTAGGAGCATAGCGCTAAGCTTCTGAAGCTGGATCCCTTGAAACAACCAGCCAGCGTTCTGCTCCATACCAGGGGGGGGATGTGGGAAGAGCCTAGTCGCACGCGTAGTCTGAAACCAAAAAGTTCCTGATCATTCGAAGGCTGTGCTATCGGTGCGAGCGCATTGTCACGAGGCAAGGCGCATTGATTGACTAATTTTGATTTTAATTTGCACTCTTATCAATGTCAATTTTCTAAGAACCTTTCTACGCCCATGTGGAGTTAGGCATCCCGGAAGAGTATCGTGGAGTTCAGAACTCAGATTTCGAGATGGTCCATACATGTGTATTTCGACGACGTACTCATTCAGCGACTTTCTCGACGTGAGTCCATAGCATTACTCTAGCACTATAGAATGAATGATTGTTCGCAGAACCAAACCGACTTGCGTTGAGGAAAGCGTGTCCAGATTACATCTCGGGCAGTCGGAAGTCCTCCAGGAGCAGTCGTCAGCGAGCACGAGCTTGGCCTGAACACAGCGCTCCATGTCCCGGCTTGGAGAGCTTGACTCCTGGATCCGTTGCGTTCAGAATTGGCGCGTGCTTTGCTCAGACTCGACGGCCGTGACCCCTCTGTGGGATTTTTGGGATCCCGGCGTTCATTTCTCTCGGGGCGAGGGGATTCGTCATGATTTAGACAATGTCCATCCACCAATCGGCCAGCGCGCGCTCCTCTCTGGCTCCCAGGTGAGAGCCGTGACTCGGGCACAGTCGATTGAGTTCATCGTAGTACCGCACGTCTCCAAAAGCGAGAGATGAAGATCGAGGCACCATTCCATGGCCACCCGCACGATCCTGTTTGATTGGCGGAGAATGGATACAGACCAGATATGGTCGTGGTGAAGATGGCGTCGGCACCGGACGCCAACATGCGACCAGCGGGGCCGGAGATCGTCGAACTGTGGTTTTGAGCGTGGCGTCACTCTGGTCGCGCTCAGCGAAGTGGGATCTGAGGGCGTCGATGATTTCCGTGCCGCCGATGAGATCGAATTGAATCAGACCCATTCGCGAGCAACCCTCCCCGTCGAAGACATCCTCGAAAGTCTGCACCAGCATGGCATGTTGTTCCCGAACCTCGCCATGGAAAACCGAATCGATCGAGTTCGCAAGTCACATTCAGTCTCGTCAACATCCAATAGGCTCCGGCGCAGACGAACCACGACGCGCCACCATACGTTCCCGGCGACTCGATGATATAAGCCGTTAGTGTCTTCATGCGATCCACGTAGCCCTCGGTCCCGGACACAATGAAGAAGCTGCCATCCCGCTTGGCTCCTTCGGCTTCGACGGCGTCGCCAAGCATGTTGCGAGTCGGGCCGCGACAAGCTGCTGGGGATGGTGCGCTTGGACAGGACAGAGGGATGAGAATCAATCATTCTGGATCCGTGGCAGCGCCCAAAGAAAGAGCTGGCTACTTCTCATCAAGGTGGAGAGGGGATCGATATCCGGGGCGGTGGATGGTGGGGGATTTCTGCAGACTTCGCAACTTGAATGGAAGAGTGGGCGTAGATACACTGAAGCGGTTTGTGAATAAGAAGAAAATGGTCGAGAGAGAGATTTTGGAGCAGACCCTGATCAGTCGTATCCAGTCTGGACCTGGAGCAGAGCGCGAACCGGGTCGGAAACCCCCTTCGACATTGGAGTGGGGGCGGCCACTTTGGGTGACGCAGCGAGCAAGTCGAGTCGTGGTCTTGAACCAAATAGACCTCCCGATTACCCAGCGGCATAAATCGTTCTGTTTCGTCTTGACACTCTGCGAAAACGGCCTCTGGCGTATGGAGCATGCGGCGCAGCTGAACAAACCAGGCGACTTGAGGTAAATTGACAGACGCGCATGATGGAGCGGTTTATGATCAGCAACATGGGCCCAGCAGAGAACCTTCCTCTTTCTGTGCGGAAAAAAGAAGAGCGTTCCCGAGTCAGCAAGATCCCCAGTTGAGGAAGGATGGAAAGATCACGATGCTCTGATGTGTTGCGTGACCGAGTCCTCCTGTTTTTTGGCAGATGTGACACTTGACTTGTGAGAAAGTATGACAAGACCAGCTCATTTTTTCGGCAAAAACAACTTGTTGGGAAGCCATCTTTCATCTCGATGGCACCTTTCAGATGTGCATCTGTGAGCTCTCGTAATCGCTGCAGCACTGCCACGTGTAAGACCGTCTGAAAATCGTGTCTCGGCGGGCCAAGAATGGAGCTCAAGCACACGGCGAGAGCATTCTGCTCGAGCAGAGGGTAGTTGTATGAATTCGGTGGACAGAGGACCGACAGTAGAAAGTAGTTGTAGCAATTGAAGCTCCGACGCCATCTTCGCTACCCCAGACACGAGGCCAATCCGATACGCCGGCGGTCGATCTCAGCTCATTATCTCGCACACACACACACTCGCCACCGCGTGCAATCTCATGCACTGTCGCTGGCACGAGCCTGCCCGGCAGCAGTCACTTCCCATGCGGAGACGGGGGCCAGGGGTGGACTGACGAGGGCGCGGCCGCGCGGGGCATATCTCCTGGTCGGCACTGTGGGTGGACGGGCCATCCGCTGGCAAGACAAATGATTGGTTTCGACCTTTGGCCCCGAAGCGGAAAGAGCCGGCCTTCTTGACTCGGGGAAAAGGAGTGTGCCGAACCCCACGTGTTGGGGTGCGATCGTGGGGCGCCAACAGAAAATCAGGGAGGGCCGCAATGAGATGGTCGCACCAGAGGATAAGAGACAAAGCAAAAAGGATGCGAGTTCCGGAAAAAGCCAGCGATAGACCATAAACGGAGGGAGGCCAGGGCTTTCGAGCGTGGTGATAAAAAACAAACAAAGGACGACGAGATCATTGTGGTCCCAATGGAGACAAGAACATGCTGCTTCGCACAATCAACAACCAGTGAGGTGACTTGCCCTCTTCCCTCATAAATCGCTCTGCCTCAGAGGGTGGTGGCAGCCCCCGTCACAGTCTCCTCCCGCCCTCAACCCAGCATCCGCCGTCGATGAACCGTTCGCAGCAGCATCCGAGTACTGATCAGCAGACATTGATGGCGAGGGCATCCACTGGCACCCATATGTGGGTGAACCAGGAACCCTGCGGACAGCGGGGATGCATGCACATCTATTCATTCAGCCATCTCTCCGCGCTGCCGGCCTTGAAAGCCGGCCATGCAGCAGAATGCGGCGGGGCAGTGTCACAGTGGGTCCCCTGTGAAGATTCAGAGCGCCGGGAGCTGACAAGAGAACAGATTGCCCCAGGCCGCAGTTCCGACGTTGGAGAGTAGCATGACGATGCGTCTAGAGCCGTTGGATCTGAATCCTGCGTAAGAGCCCGAGTAACGCCCGTGCATTCGCTCACTCATCGTCTTCTAGGTATCCCGAGGGATATGGGTACGATCTTGATCAGATTCGGATGGGCCAACGAGATATAGCCGTCCATAGTGCCATGGAGGATACTGGGTACGCCATCGATGTCGTCTTGAGCATTGTGCCGATGCCATTCTCTTTCCAGAGCGCGATCCATCCCCAGAGCGCGATCCTACATCCCCAGAGTGCGATCCTCCATCCCCAGGCTGCGCCATCTCCGTGTATGGGAGGACCCATCCCCCGACGAGATAGAGACCAATCTCGTTGGTCCCTACGCGCCGTTGGTCGGTGTACCTTCTACATTCTCGAGCCAATCACGAGTCGGCACCAGCCCCCAGTTCACAGCAGATTCTGCTCGATCACCGCTCGCCGAGCTTGCCTCTCTGTGCTCCAGATACAATCCGATGCCGGCGTCCAATCCACAGTCGGCCGGCCCAGCATCTCTGGTCTCCGCAGATCATTCTCTGTCGCCGATGTCGACTTCTGGGTGGCAGAGCCCACAAACGCAGTCTTTGCCACCGGTGACGAGAAGAGCTCCTCCGCCCACGTCGTCATCTCCGACGACCAGTCTCTCTGCGGAGACTCCCTCCGGACCGTCGAGTGCCCACTCGGCGACATCCGAGACCGACTCCGCTTCCCCTCCGCTACGCAGAGAAAAGACCGAGCCTTGCCAACTGCCGCCGGTGCGCAGAATCGACAAGCACGGCGTCGTATGGTACTGCACCGTGTTCCAGAACGATACCGACTCAGGCTGGGCTACTGCTGTCTCGAAACAGGTGCGGCGGCGCCTTGAAAATCCACCGGCTAGAAGAGGCGGGAAGAAGACGAAGACCAGCCATACACTGGCTGAGCGGATCAGGATCCTTGCTACTGATCCCTGGGTGGAATCGTTCCATGCGAGGTGCGCGTTGTGCCGGGCGTGCGGGCAGCCTTTCCAGCTGGACGGCCGCAAGGACTTCTATGGATATGCCTGGACCAAGCACCGCGAGCGGTGCCCCAAAATCAAGAAGAAGCGGTTGCAGCTGAAAGCTGGCACGGAGGTATGCAGTGCCGTTCTTGCGTCCCAGTCAAGCATGGTATTGACGACCGCCCGCCCGCCCGGATTGTAGGCCCAACTCAAAAGCTTCACTGCGTACTACGCCGAGCCAAGCAGAAAGTCGACAAAGCGGAAAGCAAACGAATCCGATCCGCGTGCAGACGCCCTGCCCGGGGACGAGACGACGGGCGCGAAAAAGCCGCGGACCAAAAAGCGTGGGCGGCCGTCGTCTGCTTGAAGAGGGGGCTGAAGAAGTACTGCAATTGTAAACTACTGGGTCAGTGGGTCCTCGTCCTTGTTCTGTATGTGGGAATTTGCTCACCTCTTCCCAAAGCATTTGCCCAACGGACGTCCCTCGTCCGCATATGTAATCCTGCCTCCTCGTCCCTGATGTACCCATGCGTTTCCAATGTACACTGAGCGAATTGGTCGTTTCCTGCTGAAGACATGCGTCGTCGTTAAGACCGAGATGTAAGAGCGAACGCACCACCATGAATCACCCGCGCTGCTGCCACACAGCACACACGCATCTTCCATCCCAGCGCTGCAGTGGATATAGAAACGAGCGTTCCAGCCACTGGCGTTTTGTCGGCCGCCACCATCCCGTACTCCTCCTGCCCCCTCCTTCCCTTTCTCGATGCAAAATCTGATGCTGCAGCCCTCCCGACGGTACCGCTGCCAGGAATATGGCTTTCAAGTAGCTCGTAGGTCGTCTACCCTCCCGCACTCATGTCTGAGTTCCAGGCCCATCGTATCATGAAGTCTCCCCTCATTTGCTTGGGCGGTGTGATGTCGTCTGGTGCTCTGGTCGAGGAAGACGATCAAAACTTCCGGGAAAGCAGGTCGGGCCGATCGATGGCAAAGCCAAAGGAGACGTGGACCGGGAGCCCAAAAGTCTTATCGAACGCAGTACGTCGCAACTGGCTGAGATGTCTGGCCCTCTGGTCAAAGCAGTGGAGGACTCGATTATGGGTTAGGGTTGCCGCGCTGAGCTTCCAGGCACTACACAGGGCTTAGGTATCGTCTCTACGTGTCAAAGACTATTTACCACTCAAGCTACTCTGCAGGTCGAGCAGGACCAACCGTTCCTGAGGCTGCAAGACGACAAGGCTTCGAGGCCGCTCAATATCAATGATCACTTCCAAGCACTTGTTTGTCAGACCAGCAGGTCCGTTGCGGCTGTTTATCCATCTCGCACATGACTCGACTCATGCCAGCTCTTATTTATCCGAATCGTCGACACGACTTTCTCCAAGTCGATTGCTTTACGGGCGCTTAATTCATCAATCCGAAAGAAAGAAACATGGGGGGCATCACAAAAAAAACAAGCCACTTGTGCTGTTGGTAAGTGAATTTATCTGAGTTTTTGTGCTTGAGACTCTGGAAGTTACTTGCTTGACCAGCGATCAGCGAAGTGTGACGCATAAGGAAATCGTCGATTGAGATAAGATTAGATCGAAAAGGGGGTAGCATCTCCTCAACCAAAAAGAGATAACGCGCTGTATTTGACGCTTTCCCTTTGCAGATTCCTCCTGAGGTGTACTCTGGAATTCCTGAAGCAACTTGCTGCTGGCTGCGCCCGTTGATTGGAAATGAAATCACGAAGGCGTCGAGACAAGATAAGCGACGCTGAGCCTTGATCGATCATCATCGATCATCCCCGGTCCGATTCAGGCGAGGCCCTTTCACTAACAATTTTCTCCTCGGAACAAGTTTCCTCCTCACTTGCTCCTCCTCCCCGCATGTCCTCGTCGTAATGCTTGCTACTCTATTCTCGTGCTGCTTGGCTCCGCGCGCCAAAGGCCCGCGCCATGGACGAGCTCCTCTTGATGTCCGTCATCCCCTCTGCGCTTCTAGAAGATGGAAGCAGGGCTGACCCGCGTGCAGGCGAATCCGACCGAGACGACGAACCTGATCCCGACGAGCGCCAGTGAAGACCTCACGTCGTGCGTGTGCAGCGCTGCGCGCATCGTCAGACTCTCAGCCTCCCCCTCTCTGACATAGATTGCCCCCATCAAACGACGGAATCGACCACCAGAAACTGCAAGAGCGCTATGGAAGTATAGTACGTGCGAAGGAAAGGTACGCGTGCAGACACGTCTTCGAGCCGCCTTCTGAACGCGGTCCACCACCAGCAAAATGGTCAACCTGACTGCCCGAGCGCCATTTGTGCTCCAAGTCGTCTCTCCGTCATCCTCGACACCGGTCTCTCCCGTCCTTCCCAATCAAGAACCTGCGATTGACGCGGACATGCCGACACCCGCCGCAAAACCATCGACCTCTCCGGTCCTCTCATCGCAGCCCATTCTGTCCCGCCGCCCGCCCATCCTCACGATGACCCCGGCGGTGGTGCGCCCAGCCTCGCGCATGACACTGGGCTACGACTCGCGCTTCTCGTCACCCAACACATCGCGCTCGTCGTCCCGCCGCCGGCCCGAATTCGATGGCTCGTCCGCTTATCGCGACAACCGCTTCTCGGCCTTACACGGCGCGCAGCAGCACATGCATCCGGATCTGGGCAGCACATGGCGGCGCCCGGCATTCACCGCGGCGGAGAGTGAGTGGCCGGAAAGCGAGACAGAGACGGAGGAGAGTGCTGCTGAGTCTGATGGCGATGACGAGGAGGAGGAAGAAGAGGAGGAGAGCGTTTCTCGTGGGAGTCAGGACAAACACAAGCCTGAAGATGTGGATGCCAAGGTGTCCCCAGTCTCGTGTGCCCCGCTAGCATCGCGCACGGTGAGTTCACCGTCTGTGTGTCCCGGATTCCTGTTGATGCGTTCTGCAAAGACTACGGCGGATCCTACTGTGGCGATCCCCGTCGCAGACAGCACAGACACCGAAGACCCATTGGACATTGCCTTTTCGTGGAGTGATGCTTGATACTTGCTACATACGTCGGAACACTTCCTCATAGTTTTTCACTGGTCTACTATGGTTACCCTCACGAATACTGCATTTGTTGTATACATCTACGAAGCTACTGTATCCGCTTTTTTGACTTCTGTCGTACTTATTGATTGACGAAAGCTCGACACCCCTGTCCGCGGCACAGACCCCACCGTTCCCATGCAGGCCGTTGTGATCGATTCGTCGATGCCAATTGCGCATCTGAAAATGAGAAATGTGGCAACATCCGGGTAAACTGAAGCCAGGTCAGGTAGTGCAGCATCCTTGTTCTCGTTTATCACAGGTCAAACACCGCGCTCAAACCGGTCAGGCAGTGACGCGAACTCGGAAATTTTCTAGTCCCGGAGTGCGCCGCACCACACGCCGATCAACTGTCGACAGTTTCATCTTTTCATTCAAGCGGCAAACCCACGGAAAGAGGTTATCCCTGTACTCTGCGATCGTGTGAAACCGCTGTCATCGACGAGAAACCTTTTTCTGAGGGAGATGGAGATCGCTATCAGATATCGTCACTCCGAGACTCCCCGTAGTATTTATTGATTGAAGGATCTTCGTTGTGCGCTGATGTCATTCAGCAGTGTAATAAATCCTGATCGTCCGTGGCGGAGATATCCGGTCCTCCAAAACCTTTCAGGTCGCTTCCTGTACAAATCGAGGCTTCGTGTATTGATCCATTTCCACTGATCATGGAGCATCTTACCTGGATTATCGAGATCGTCCTTAATCGCAGGCAGATATGTGCCCAGGTGATCGATCCTCCTCGTCCGCAAGTGTGTCTCCTGACCTCGGGGTGGTGTTTCTGAAACAACAAATCAAAACTTGTCTCGTGACACTGCCGTTTTTCCGTGTCGTCCCGCGCAAAAAAAAAATGACGAATCTGGACCGGTCTGGACTGCTGATAATTGAAGCAGAGAACCCGCACCGGGGTGCATGCCGCCTGGATTGTCAAAGTGTTGGATACGTCAGCGTTAGAAATAATGCGACTTCGAACAGTTCCTGCTGTTCCTCGGCTGTCGACCTAGCGTTTTAGCCTCTATCTGCGCACATTAAATGCACACTGTCTTTTGTCTAGAAAGGTTCTTGGCAAGACTGACACGAATAAAACTTGTCAGAGCACTAAAGGAGAAGGTTCATTTTGAGGTGTTAGATCTCATATATGCATGTTGAATATTCTCAGTCGTGCAATCGGCCCATCCGAACCTAGTGAAGAAGTGGAAGGGCCGGTGCGATTTTTAGTCTTCGTATGTGATTGGCTCTTCAAGCAATGTTCTCTTGAATATGATGCGTGCTTCGCATGCTTTCAATGTCCACGCTTCGAGCTTGGAAGATAAGCTACTGTAGTGCAGCCGAGTGTACGGCACAGAATGATACCTACTTACCCAGTGCGGGCGCCTCGATTTCTGCTATGCACGACGAGCAGCCGTTCGCCGCAACCCCGACACGACGCTTGACTTCCTCACAGCGGGAATTCCCGAGCGATCGCGCCATGACGAACTTCTTCAGGTGAACCTTTGACACCCGATCATGATAGAAGTCACCAAAATAGACCATGTCTCCTTTTTCGGGCCCTTCAATCGTACATAAATCTTGCGGAGGCTCAACTCGCCTCAATTTTCATGCTCACCGCCGCAATTTCAACTGCCATTAGTCTGTACTCCAATTCGGATCCAAAATCCGAATTATCCGATGTGGTGAGAGTGTGCATCCAGAGATGGGAATGGCTTGGAATTAATGGAGCGCGGCTCATCTGTGGCGACGCTAGTGTCCACCGGAGAAGCAGATAAACTCTGTGACGTTCGGTGGACAGACGACAACCTCAAGTCATTAACAGCCGCGTCAAGAGCCTTGGTGCGTTCCATCGCTACAGGCTCAGACCTTAAGGTTTCCTCATCTGTCCAGGATACAGCCGCGATCGTTTTCTCCCTGACGGAACGCCTTCGGAAAATCCGGTGACTCATCGACCTGTATCCCCGGATGTGCGTACCTCCCTCACAAAGGTGCAGAGTAGGCATCCGAAGAGGCTCTCCCACGGAGATATTCGCCGAGCACAGATCTGAATGGGCGATGTGATCTGGATGACGCACCGGGCCGACATCCCGTTGCGACGCAAGATGCTGCTCTACGCACACGGTCTCCATCTCCCTCGCACATACACTTCTGCAATGGCCTTAGCACCTGATCCGTCTAGGCGTTCTCTCGGCGTTTATTGAAGTTGTACATTGCATTGCCCACACGGCGGCGCAGTGGTGTCACCCGCTAATGTGGTGGCTTTTGGCGCTTGGGAACAACCGGCTGCTGCCTTTTTTTACAAGCGCACAGCGTCACTCCGTGTCTGCCGTCCGATCATCTCGTACCCAGCGCTCCGATGCCACTGTTCCTGGAATGTCTCTGTGTGTTGTTCTCGATGCATGAAACCACGATGCACCCGTGTCCCGGTCTAGTTCTGCTGCATTCCAATGCCAATGCTAGCCGGGTCTCCAACTTCCCGGAAAGATGGGTCGTGAGAGGCAGTGTGTTGTGGGCTGCTTAAATACGCCCTTCGATATGCTCGCCTAGTCACTGCACCTCGAGCTCCAAACCCAGAATGCATCTTCTTACTGGCCCCGCACCTTCGTCTCCATCTTTGAACCGCGCACCTGACGATCTCGCGACATACGGCATGTCCCGTTCGCAGCTCGGACTGTGGCTCGCTTACAAGATGTCGCCTGATCATTCCATGTACAATCTCGCCATGAAGCTCGAGCTCGATCGCTCAGAATACAGATTGGAGACTGCTCTCCAGGGCAAGTGCTCTTCTCGTATCGTTCAACAAGATCTCAGCTGACGACAATCTGCAGCAATCACACACCTCGTGCGACGTCATCCCGCTCTTCGCAGCACCTGGCACGATGCCGATGTTCGGCATGCAGAGCCTTATGTTGCAGAATGGGCACCTAATGTTGCGGTTGCGCATCTCCAGATCCAGATACTGCACGTTACATCTCCGGTTCATTTCAGTAACCGGCTTCGCGCGCCAGTTCCCCTCTCGGACGAGTTCGCCGTGCGCTGGTTTGTTGTCCTCGGGCCCGAGATGATGTCGATTTATGTGGTGGCGCACCACATCGCGCTGGACGGGACGAGCATGAGCATTCTCTCGGATGAGATGCTGCGGTTCATGGCGTCCCCGTCGGATCCTGTCTGGGATCAGATGGACTGTGGCTTGCGCTCAATGGGGGATACAGCAACTATCTTGCGGGTGAGGATCAGCTCCCGCATCATTCCCAGAAACTTCGGGCTGACACGGCGAATGACCAGGCCGCCTACGCTGCCGCCGAGCCCGCAGCGCGCGACTTTTGGCTTAGTCAAGTCCGCGATACAGCACCCGTTCGGTGGATCAACAATGGCTCTGGGCATGTGTCATGCAGCCCAGATGGTAATCTGAATCCCGCTGCCACGCCACAGGATGGCCGGTCCATTATGTCCGACGCAGCTAGAGATTACCGCGCGATTGAAACATGGACCCTGTTCTCGAAAGCCGTCAGTCGTCATAGCACCGGCAATCCCTATAATTAAATCACCAACGCTGATCTGGATTCCAGGACCTCAGACAGTGGAGCGCCAGGTACAACACGTCCTGGTTCCGAGTCATGCTCGCGGCGATCGGCGTCCTGGTGCGGTCAAAGTGCGCCCCGCCCGGATGCGAGGACACCGCGGACTTTGTGCTGACAACCGCGTTTGCTGGCCGACCTGCAGGCCTGGGACACGCACTCGGGCATTTCGTCAACGCGCTGCCTGTTCGCGTTCCGTTTACCGCAGTTCTCGGGCCGGATGGGGCCGGCACGTTCGATATGCTGGTCAAGCATATCTCTGAATATGTGTCCGCTGCGAAGAGGCACGAGGTTTTCAGCCTGCTTGATCTACAGGACGCCGCTCGAGCGGAGGGGATGCAGATCCCTCGATCACAAGTCGCGGTGACCCTGTCCCCCCGTCTCGCGAGAAACGAGTGCGAGCTGCTGCCTGTGGAAGGTGCACACGACTTGTTCTTCTGCTTCCTGGAGGGTCCAGATGCGGTTGAGCTCGGGGTGAGTCGCAGGTTGGGAAACAAGATCTGCATCAAGTTTTGATGAAATTGTCCTTTTTTCAGGTCATTTATAATCCAACCATCTTCTCTGAGTCCACAATCACCTCCTTCAAGTCAGATTTTGCCTCCTTGTGTACACTCGTTCCAGAATCTGGCCCGCTTTCTCTGAGAACGATGGCCCCTGGCCTCGTGCGTCATCTTCGCACCCTTCCACCTGCGTTGGATTTACACAACGAGGACCAAATCAGCGAGACCCCGTGGCATCAATTGCTTACTTATCAAGCGGCTCAAAATCCGGATGCTGTTGCGCTTTTTTCGGCGGAGAGCCAAACTGCCATGACGTACGCGGAACTCGATCGAAGAAGCTCCGGTATCGCATCCTGTGCGTTTTTCCTCCCATGTAGGAAAAGTCTAGTTTACTCACTAGTGCTTTCTGTTGCTTAGATCTACAACGCGAATTCGCAATCCAGCAAGAGTCTCTGATCCAGCTTCATCTGACGCGCGGGTTTTCCGTCCTAGTGTGGATTCTCGCGGTGCTCAAGTCCGGTGGCGCCTTCTGCGTGTCGGATCTGAATCACCCACGCCAGAGAACGAAGCAGATCGTAGAAGTCGCTAGGCCGCTGCTTGTCGTCGTCGACGGAGAGGATTCTGAGTGGTTGCTCGAGGACTTGCCAGTCGAGTCGAGTTCGGCTCGACTGATCCACGTTCGTGAAGTCGAGCACCATCTTAGCTCAGCAACGACTCCTGCACGAGCACGCCAGGTCACGAAAGGGAGCGACTTGGCATACGTAATTTTCACCTCTGGAAGTTCAGGTGTGTGAGACTTGACTTCCTCGTCGTCCGCTTGGACTCTAAACATGTCTCCCAGGCAAACCCAAGGGCGTCGAAATCACGCATTCCAATCTCACGCACTTCGTCACGGGCTCGCACTCCTCCGCGTCCCCGTTCCTGCCCGGGCTGGGCCCTGGCGCGCGCATGCTGCAGTGGGCGAACTTCACCTTCGACGCGTCGCTCATCGAGTGGGCGCCGTGTCTCGCATTCGGCGGGACGCTCTGTTTCGCGGCGCACCCCAAGGCCCTCGTAGGCGAGTACCTGCTCGATGTCGTCGTCCGCAACGCCGTGACGCACGTGAATCTGACCGCCAGCGTGCTCGCGAGCGTGCCTGCGGACGTCGAGCGGGGGATTGGACGGCTGCGCGTGGTGTCCGTCGGCGGGGAGATGGTGCCCGATGGCTTGGTCGAGGTGTGGAGGAAGAGGGGCGTTGTCGTGCAAAATGCATACGGGCCGACTGAATGGTGCGCTTCCAATCAGAGTTCCTCTTTCGCAAAGCTGATCTAAACTCGCAGCGCCATGGTGATGTCGCACCACACCTATCCTCGCATCTCCAAAAGTGAGACGGCGCCAGTGCCTGCCTGCGTCATCGGACACGCACACGATAAGATGTCGTTCTACGTTTGCTCAGAGGACAAATTTCATGCTGCCGCACTGGCTAACGGGGAGGTGGGTGAGATCTGCATTGCGGGACCCCAAGTCGGTCGAGGGTCTGTCATCTCGGATCTTATCTTCGCGACCGATCACTTATCTTATCTCGCTTAGATACCGGAACCGGCCGGACCTTACAGCTGACCGATTCTGTGTCCATCCGCTCATTGGGGCGCGCCTTTACAGGACGGGAGACCGAGGGAAGATGCTCCCGGACGGTAGCGTCATGCTTCTTGGACGTGTTGATAGAGAGGTCAAGATCCGTGGATTCAGGTTCGCGTCCGAAGCTCGAGCTCCGTCGCGAAACTAATCGATTCGACGCCACAGAATCAATTTCGCGGACGTCGAGCGTCACGTCGCGTCCGCAGCATCGCTCTCCACCGCCGTTTCGGCGCAGTCGCATCCTAGGCACGGCCTCTGCGTGTTCCTTGCACCAGAGATGCCCGACACGGACGTCCAAGTGCTCAAGCGTGTTCTGAAAGAGCGCGTTCCCGGGTATATGGTGCCGAGCGCCGTGTTTTCGGTACCTGTGAGCCAGTTCCCGCTCAACGTGAACGGCAAGACCGACCACAAGAGGGTGGGTGAGATGATGGATGCGCTTATCGGGAACTCTCCGGCTCTCGGAGTGCGAGTTTCTGATATCGCACCCTCGCAAGTAGTACTAGAAGCAAAGAGGTAGATTCAGGAGTCTTCATGTTTCATCGTCTCTAGCACTCACAAGTATCATTTCAGGGATGAAATCCAACAAGCAGTGCATGATATCTGGATGCACCATCTTCCGAGCCCAGGAAGCTCTAACGAGAACCGCCTCTCCGACGATGCCGACTTTTTCGATATCGGAGGAAACAGGTACGGAGTGACCACACAGATTCTGAGCTTAGTTTGATCCCCTTCAGTCTCATACTCAGTCAAATCCATGCGTCACTGCGCACTCGTTTCCCCACGGCCGCAGGGAAACTCTCGCTGATCGATCTGTTCCAACACAAGACCATCGAGCAGCAAGCCCAGCTGATCCGCAACATCACCAACCATCCTCAATCCATGTCCAAAGCTCCGGGTGCAGCTCAATCAATCTCCCGCCCCAAGCTGCTTGGGAACGAGATTACTGTGATCGGGATGGCGGGCCGGTTCCCCGGCGCTGCATCTCCCGCTGCATTGCACGAGATGATGATGAACCGCACGGAGGCGATATCAACGTTCCATTCGCGAGTGAATCACACGATGAATGACTCGGAGATCTATGTCCCCCGACGCGGCATGTTGCTGGAACACGGACCTCGCAGGAAAGGGGTCGCAGAGTAAGCGTTGATTGCGCGGTTTCAAATCCAGTGGCGTGTGGCTGACGCCGGTCAGATTTGGACAAGGGTTGTTAACAAAAGTTGCCGCGGAGGCCCTCATGGACGCCGGGATCAATCTAGATAGATACGACGCAGATCGTGTCGGCTTATATGTCGGTGTCTCTGGCATCGGAGGTAAGGCTGCGGATGTGTTGCATTTTCGGTTTCATTGATCAACTGAGCGACAGATAACAAACACGATGCACCGTCCATATCCACGCGTACAGCATACGACTTGAACCTCCAAGGCCCGAATGTGACTCTGGATGCCGCCTGCTCCGGGGGAATGGTCGCGCTGTCCCTCGCCGTCGACCATCTCAGACTCGGACGCTGCGACGTCGCTGTTGTCGGCGCGGTCTGCGTCTCTGCAACCAGGCAAGTCTCATCCGCATCGCTCGGATTAAAAACGCGAGTGCTGATCGCCGCGCATCCAGTACCGGCTACCTCACAGCACCCAACAAGATCCTCTCCCCTTCCGGCCACTGCCGCCCCTTCGACGACAGATCCGACGGCACCGTCCCGGGGGAAGCCGTCTGCGCTCTAGTGCTGTGCCGCGAGCAGCAGCAGACGCCCGGAGGAGACTCAAAAGGAACGGTGTATGGCGTGATCAGCGGGATCTCGGCTGCATCCGATGGAAGTGAGGGAAAGCTGGGACCCACAGGGCCCTGCACCCTCGGACAGATCCGAGTGGTCAAACAGGCCTGGCGCGACTGTGGTTTGGATCCAGCCAAGCTTGCCTACGCCGAGTGAGTATCGAGATCGAGTTTTCCAGGGTAGCATCGTTTTGATTTTGATTTTCAGGATGCATGGAAGCGGAACGCGAATCGGGGATGCGCTGGAACTAGAGGCACTCGTGAAAGCACGGTCCCAGCTCGGGGTTGCTTCCAGCCGGTTTACGTTTGGCTCCAACAAAGGCAATGTGGGAAACTGCGAGGTTCGTCGCGTCTTCTCTCTCCCCTCTCTCAGGCGCACGATGTTAAGCGAATTCGGTAGGCCGCTTCGGGTCTGATCTCTGTGATCAAGCTTCTGCAGTCCTTCCAGCCCGCCAACCGCTGCATACCACCTCTGCAGTCATTCGAGAGACTCAACCCGTCGATCGATTTGCCGCTCCTTGCCGAGGCAGTTGTGGCTCAGCGCGAAACGGCTATTCCCGAAGCCCCGGACGGTGTGATATGCTCGGTGACGAGTTTAGGATATGGTGGGATCAATGTACATTGCATACTACGGTCTGTTACGTGAGGCGATACTTCTTGATATTTCAGACTTCTGGATATGTGTATGTATAACGTTATTTATTACGCGAAAATTGTGATCTATTTCGAAGGTGCATTCGAATGGCGGCTGGAGTGAATCCTGTGAGCATTCGCTCATACCGGTAAGTAGAAGCCTTTCATCCAAGTAGAAGGGCAGTGATCCGCAGATCAGGGGCACAAACTTCTCATGACAACACATGGGACTGGTTAGTTGACAGCTTCGGACTGATAGACAGCATGAATGAAGCCATCTTTCTCCTCGGCGTCATTTGGACGAGCCAGCGCTGTTTCAGAATCAGAGAGGATGGAGGCATCTGGAGGATAGGAGACTCCACAATGCCATAGTGGGTGGCAAAGTGAAGCGACATCAATCAATTAGGTCAGCGCACCTGCCATGGCATCACCTACACTACACCCACTACTTTAACTTTGGCCCTCAAGTGCTGAGAGCCACGATGTCACGGAGACAGACATGGATGGTGTTAAGGCGCCCTTAGCATATCTTCTTTAAAGTGAGATTGTGCCGCAGAAGTCACATCTGTCTCCCTCCGAGTTGCCAATTATGCAGAGCGTCTTGAGTCTGACATCCCTGTCCCTGCTCTCACTGCTAGGCGTCTTGGTCGTCCGATGGATCCTTGGGGATAAGGGAAATCTCAGCCGTCTTCCCGGTCCCCCTTCGCAGTCATGGTTGTTTGGTAGGTTCATCCGCGCCGCCGCCGCTACCTGAATCCTGATCCTGACGCCGTGTGCAGGACATCTTCCCCAGCTTTACCTCACATTCAATTACGGAGAGAACGAGTTCAAGTGGCTGAAGGAGTACGGGACGGTGTACCTGTTACGTGGTGTGCTCGGCGTGCGTCACTTCTCTCCGCTGGTCGAAGCGCTGACCGATACTAACGGGACCCCACAGCAAAAGCGGGTCATGGTCGCCGATCCTGTGGCAATCAACCACATGTTCCGCGGCGACGATGTGCACTTCTCGCCTATGTTCATGGCGATCGATACGGCCATTTACGGGGATGACAATGTGTCCGCCTCAAGAGGCGAGTCTTCATTCATAGGCTCCAGCACTCAGATTCTCATCCTTGTCTTCTTCTTGTAGGAGAGGCCCACAGGCAACTTCGAGCCGCTCTCAACCCAGGCTTCACGACCGCAGTCGTCAAGAGCTATCTTGCTGTCTTCGAAACCGTTGCTCAAGGCGTCAGTGAGATCGAGTTCGTCGCCAATCAGTTCACTCATACTCGGCTTTACAGGTCACTCTATCTCTGGATAAAGCCTTGACAGAGCGAAAGAATGCTCCAGTCAACGTCTCTCCCCTGCTTTCTGAGGCAACGCTGGCGGCCATCTCACAGGGTATCTAGACTAGAAACTCTCACTCTCAGAACAGAGGTTGATCACGTAAATTCATAGTCGTCCTCGGCCTCTCGCTCGAAGACCTCGGGCCCGATTTTGTGCGAATCAACTCACAAGTGATGTACACTCCTTCATCTCTTCTGGGTGCACCCGTTTACTTACTCGCCGGCCTGCCAGTGCACTCGCGTCCGGACTGGGGCGGGTGAACTTCCTCACGGATGCTCTCTCTGCGGTCTTCCCTCGGCTCCCGAGATACCTCATGCGTCTCCCCACCCAGAGCTTCCGCGCTGTGCATCAAGGAAGAACGCTCGCGGAGCAGGTCGGGAAGAAGATGATCGGAGCCCGCCTCGACGCGGGGATTCTGGAGCAGAAAGAGGATGATCACCTGTTCGGGAAGATCTGTGAGCGCCTTGGCACATCGCATCCGGAGGCTGGATAGGGTGCTGATGCTCAATTGAAGTGACGGAGAACGCAAAGAGATCCCTCCGGCCCGAGCTACTCGCCGCACAAACTAGTGTACTGCTTGTTGCTGGCCAGGACACGACGGTCCGGTCGTTTAATCCTGGTTCCTGGTCACTTGCTGACGTCGATTAGGCAAACACGTTGACGTTCGCGCTCTATGAGCTCGCGCAACGCCCTGAGGTCCAATCTCGGCTGCGAGCGGAAGTGTTGGATGCCGTCCAGGACACGGAGATCCGATACGATGCTATACCTGTGCTCAATGCTGTCATCAAGGTTTGCTCTAGGCTATGTGATGTCCGGTCATTGGAATGCTCATGGAACCCAGGAAGCGCTGCGTTTGTATCCGGCCGAGGCTCTCATGGACAGGATAGCTGCACATGACATGACGATCCCACTGAGCGCACCGGTACAGTTGTCGAACGGAGAAACTGTGCAACAGCTGGTCGTCTCGAAGGGCCAGTGGATCACTGTCAGCAGTGCGTCGTATCAGAGGTAGGGATGCTCTCCATATACACATCCTCCTCCTCTGGTTTACCGTGTGATTCAGATCGGAGGGGCGATGGGGCCCCGAGCCTGAAATGTTCGATCCGAATCGGTGGATCGATGGCAAGGTGGCGGCGAATGGGGAACCGATGATCTCGAGCGCGTACGCCAATTTGTGAGTCTGGCTGGGGCCTACTTTCATACGCTGCCGGATCTTTCTGACATGGTGTGCTGCAGACTGACCTTCAACGCCGGTCCTCACACGTGCTTGGGGTGAGTCTTTGACCTATGCATCCATGGCTGCCCTGTGTCTGATCACTGATGCCATTCAGCTGGCGTTTTGCGTAAGCTCTCAGGCATCGCTTTTCGACGCTGACTGACTGACTGATCTATTCCAGTGTCTTGGAGATGCAGGTGATCTTGACCGAGCTCATATCCAAATTCGTTTTCGAGGTTCCAGAGGACCCAGCGATGAGCATGCGAACTATGTTCGCCACCACCATCATGCCTGCCGATGCAGAGGGTAAGAAACGGGCTATGCTTTGTGTCAGTCGTTTGTGAGAAGAGTGCAATGTAAATAAGATCAATTTCTCTTACGATGTACCGAGGAGCTCTAATGAAAAGATACCGAAGATACTAGGAACGCACAAAAAACCAAATCAGGCAACATATCCTGCTAGGCGCACCCTCGGCTGCACATCCGCGGCGGTCCCAGCCAAAGTCTGCATCGTTTGGATTTGAAGTAGGGACTACAGAGTTGTGCACCCTTGGGAGTGACTGCCAGGCATTCGTGCACTGCGTCTAAATTTCATTGGGAGCGAGAGATTCGGCGAACTTGTCTCCATCTCCCCAAGTTGTGCGATCTTATCCGAAACATCGGGGTGGTTTCGCGCCATTTTCATCATGAATTTGTGCGAGCCTTTCATGCAAGTCAAGGTTCAATATATCTGTCCAATTTTTCCAGAGATATTCTCGGTGGAAAGTTAAGAATACCGTGACGTCAATACAGTCCTGCTTTGCGACCTGTCACTTTAGAAGCCCTCGTTTGAGAGGACACTATACGCAAGAATCGATCGTTCTATTGTCTGTGTCCAGTACATCACTCATTTCATCGCCATCGGTCAATCCGTGCGAAGAGAGCCATGGCCCTCACTACATGGCGCTTTAGCGGGGTGGAAGTCATTATGAGTCGCACGAGTGATGAGTACGAGATTCTCCTAGTAGCGGGATCAAGTCGAAGTCTCACGTGAGAGTGATCATTTGACAGCTCACCCTCTGTGAACGACTGTCAGTCCCCCAAAGCCACGATGCTCACGGGGAACTGTATTAACGGCCTTAAGACGGCCCACACATCCTCACTTTATATTGGAACTGTCATGAGAGACTTGCGTCTGTCTCCCCTCCCCAGTCATGCAGAGCGTATCCAGCTTGACGTCGTTGTCCCTTCTCACACTGCTGGGCGTCTATGTCGTCCGATGGTTCCTCAGACCCAAGAACGATCTGGGCCGGCTTCCTAGCCCTCCTTCGGAGTCTTGGCTGTTTGGTACGTCATCTTGTGCGGTGTTGCTAGACACTGGTGCTGACCCCGCACGCAGGACATCTCCCGCAGCTGCTCCTCACCACTAACTACGGCGACAACGAGTTCCGATGGCAGAGGGAGCACGGGCCGGTGTATCTGCTGCGTGGTGTGCTCGGCGTGCGTTCCTGGTCTTCTTCCGCCGTAGTGCCTGTCCGGATCTGACAGGGCTGGGTTAGCAAAAGCGACTGATGCTCTCCGATCCCGTGGCCATCAACCATATCTTCCGCAGCGACGATGTGCAGTTCTCTCCCATGTTGATGGCGATGGACAAAGCCCTCTACGGAGATGACGATGTGTCTGCCTCAAGAGGTAAGGCCCTCTCACACACGCGCCTTTGCGCTGATTCTCGCGCCGACTCTCATTCTCCATCTTGCAGGAGAGGCCCACAGGCAGCTCCGATCCGCTCTCAACCCCGGATTCACGCCGGCGATCGTCAAGAGCTACCGGGACATATTTGAGAATGTCGCGCGAGGCGTGAGCAACGCAAAGCCCACTGCTGCACAGGGCACTGACATCCGTCTCCACAGGTCACTGTCCAACTGGAGGGGGCTTTGGCGCAGCGCAAGAACGCGCTAGTGAACATTTCCCCCTTGCTCTCCGAGGCAACGCTGTCGGCCATCTCACAGGGTAACGGCCCTCTGCTCCTGCGACACAGAATCGCATCTCAATCTTGCAGTTGTCCTCGGTCTCTCGCTCGATGATCTTGGGCCCTCATTCGTGGACGTCAGTTCGCAAGTACTGTGCGTGACCCTCGCCTCTTTCACCGTTAACCGCTGCTTGCTCAAATTCGCGCCAGCGCACTCGCGTCCGGATTAGGCCGGATGCATTTCATCGCGGATGCCTTCGCTGTCGTGCTCCCCGGTCTCCTGAAGTATCTCTTGCGTTTGCCCGTCCAGCGCTTCGCCTCTGTGCACCAAGCGAGGGTGCTCTCAGAGGAGGTTGGGAGACAGACGATCGCCGCGCGCCTCAATTCTGGGGTTCTCGAAGAGAAGGAGAGTGATCACTTGTTTGGCAGGATCCGTAAGCTCTTGAGGTTCTCTGTGGAAGCCTGATACAGTGCTGAATCTGCGGTTCGTTTCAAGTGACGGAGAACGCGAAGAAGTCCCTCTGCCCCGAACTCCTCGCCGCGCAAACGAGCATTCTGATGATCGCTGGCCAGGACACGACGGTTCGGGTGATCAAACTCAGCTCTTCCCCGCATCCTGACGTCGGTCAGGCAAACACGCTCGCTTTCGCACTCAACGAGCTCGCGAAACGCCCCGAGGTCCAATCACAGCTGCGAGCGGAAGTGCTGGACGCGATTCAGGACACGGAGATCCGATACGATGCGATGCCGTTTCTCAATGCTGTCGTCAAGGTGCGCTGCGGTGTCTGGTCTGGTCTGCTGAGCGGCCTGGGCGCTAACCTAATGAGATTTTAGGAAGCACTGCGCATGCACCCTGCCGAAGCCCTGGCCGATAAGATAGCTTTGCGCGATGTGACGATCCCCTTGGGCACACCGGTACGGCTGTCGAACGGACGTACTGCAGAGCAGCTGGTCATTCCCAAGGGCCAGCTGATTACCATCGCTATTGGCTCGTATCAGCGGTAAAGCCCCTTCCATATCCGGCACCCCCTCCGCTGTTCATCTGCTTGCGCTAGGTCGGAGGGACGATGGGGTCCCGATCCTAACCAGTTCGATCCCAGTCGGTGGCTCGATGGCAAGGTTGCAGCTACCGGGGAAACGATGGCGTTGAGTCCGTACGCTCATCTGTGAGTTTTCCCCCAACATCTGCACGCCGCGCTCGCCTGACGCCTTGCCTTGCGCTGCAGATTGAGCTTCTACGCTGGCCCTCACACATGTCTCGGGTGAGCGATTGATTGCCCTCTGCACCCGACGCTGCCCTCTTTTCTTACGATCTCCATCTAGCTGGCGTTTCGCGTAAGCTGCGACTAAGTATCGCTCTAGCAGCTGGCTGGCTGAACACGAACGCTACAGTGTCCTGGAGATGCAAGTGATCCTCACTGAGCTGGTGTCCAAGTTCGTGTTCCAGCTCCCAGACGACCCGGCACTGCGCATGCGAGCCGTGCTCGTCAACACGCTGATGCCCGCCGATGCGGAAGGGAGGAAACGGGCGATGCTTTGTGTCAGCCCGCTTTGAGAGGAAGCACGTACGCGCTGTACTGTACGTATGATGTGCGGGGCCGTTTTCTACTGCAGCGACATACCGTACATGTAACTGAGATTTGAGATGTATGATATGTAATGAGCAATGCAGAGCTAGCCTCTAGGCCAGAGGATCTCGAAATAGGAGAAAACTTTACCATCAATGTCTTCGTCGCTGTCCGGCCCGTACCGGGGCGCGCGGAACGGGGGAAGCGCCAGTCCGGCACTTTCGAGGGAGAGGAAAAGACCCGTGGAAGATGGTCGAGTCACCCCTTCGACATCAGAATACAGTACACAAGGCGATTAGAAATAAACATCCACAAGTTATGCTATGCTGAGATAAATGTATGCAGTAGTGAGTACAGGACATGGTACATTATGGAGTGGTACAGATGGAAACACAAAATACATTTCAGTAGTGCATGCCGTTGCCCTCGGGGGCGTAGAGATCGTCGTAGGGCATCATCGGGGGGTGGGTACCAGACCCAAAGAGCATGCCCTCCTCGCTCAGAGTCGGCAGCATCATGGGCGGGTGCACGAAGGAGTTGAATGATTCGTCCTGGTACAGGTAGGACGCCGGCATCATCGGCGGGTGGAGAAAGTCGTCGGAGGACGGGAGCATCGGCGGATGGATTTGGGCTTCGGGCGAATCGCGTTTCAGTGCCATTGGCGGATGCCAGAACGAGCCTTGCTGCTGCTGGTGCTGCTGCTGGTGCCGCTCGCTGAACGGAAACTCCATCGAAAACGATGTCGCGCTCGAATAACCGTCCGTGTAGTCGTTGTACGACGACCCGTAGCTGACGGCACTGGAAGGCGGCTCCGAGGTTGAGTCGACGCTCATCCGCCGGCGCTTGTTGACCCGCGCATCGCCATCCACTCCACCACTGACATCCACGCCTCCAAATGGAAGCACGTCCGCGTAGGTCTCGTGGTACGGGAATCGGTACGCTCCAGCCGCGGGCTTCGGCAGCGGCCCGAGCGCAGTGGTCAGCTCGGATGTGCTGCTGTCAGGTGCGAGCATCGGCGACCCCGAGCTCGAATGGGATGACGATCCCGGGACGGGGGAGCCCTGGCGACTGGCTGTGGGACTGGCTGTAGGCGTATCCGCCTGGGCTTGTGCTTGCGCTCGGACTTGCACTTCGTGGCGAGAACGTTTGCGGATGATGTCGCTTTTCATTGAAATCGGACGCGACGTTCCGTGCAACTTGTAATACAAGCCACAGGCGTTGCACACAGTCCGGCCTTCGTCGTCTTTGCGCCACAGCGGGGTCGTCGTCGTGTGGCAGTTGAAGCATTGCGCTGGAAGGCACTCAGAAAAGATCAAGCAGTATAGCAACCAACCCACCCATGACGTCCGGGACTTCGGCTCGGGTCGACTGGCCTCTGCCTTCTCCCATGTTACGCATCGTCTTCGGTCGGGGCCGCTTGTGCTGTTTCTCGAATCAGCACCATGCGATACAAACAACAACGCTGAATACACACCAGCTTGCAGTAGAGTCCGCAGGCGTTGCAGTTGAGTTCGTCGTTGAGCCCTCGCCTCCAAAGCGGAGTATGGGTCGCTCCACAGTTGCTGCATTCGGCTTTGATACCAGCCCCAAGCGCATCACCAGCAACAGCGCCGGCCCGCAGCGCCGCACCCGAGCTCGCCGACGATGGCTTCTCCGACGACGATGCCGCAGCCGAAGACCGCACACCGGCCGGCACACGGACACTCAGCGGCGGGCGTCTCGACCCTTTCGACCCAGCGGCAGCAGCATCGCTGTTCCCCCGTCGACGGCCGACAGACACACCGCTCGCTCCGGCGCCAGCCACAGCAGAGCTGTTGCTCCGTTTCCGGAGCGCACCCCCGCGGCCACCACTGGCCTTCTTCGTCGCGCGTTTGCCGTCAAAGTAGAAATCCGAATCCGCAGAGTCGTCCCCATCCGAGGACTCGGGCTCCGATTCGGCAGCACGCGACGCAGCAATCCGAGACGCCCGGCGGGCCGATGGGGTGAGCGGGGGGTACTGAGTGGGCGACTGGAAATGAGACGAAACAGACGGAGTGGAAATCGTGGGCGTGGCTACCCGGACGTGATCAGGTTCGTAGGCGTCCACGTCGCCAGTGAGAGTCGCAGAGGGATCAAGAGTAAGCTGTCCGGGAGCAAACCCGAGGAAGGTGTCGGCATTGTACCCCGGATCGTTGGGGCCCAATATAGGGCCCATGCTCATCCCAAAGTCGGCAGAGAACGTGTCGTGTTGGTGCTGTTGTTGCTGCGGTTGGTGGAAGTGATGGGTGCCAGAAGGGAAATCCGGGAATGTAGAGGCGGCCTGCATGATTTCATCCCATCCTGACCAGTTGACGCCGCTGGGGTTTGCCATCGATATTCCCAAGCCCGATGCGGGGTCGGACGAAGACGAGGAGACCGAGTCCTCGAGATCCATGTCCTTCTCACCGTCGTCGCCATCATCAGCATGCAGCAGCTCATCGAGATGCAGTTCCACGGTCGGCCGCACGACCCGCATGCTGTCATAGTCACCACGTGTAGAAGAAAGCGAATGGGAAGAAAGCTGCGTCGAGTGGCCCGGAGACCGGTTCCCCGAAGAAGCAACAATGACGTCCGGGCCGCCGGTGCTCGCAAAGACGGTGGGAAGCCGCACTCCAGGTGTAGGAGTCGCTGTTGATGGCACGCGCTTGCGTTTGGCGCTCGGGGAAGTCTCGTTCTGGCCGGCAGTCGGACCCCCGGGGACGTCCACGGAGAAAGTGAAAAGGTTGCGGTGCTGGAGGCCCTGGTGGGCAGCGGCTTCCCTTGTGCGCTCCTTCTCGACCGCCTTCTGCTGCAAAAGGTCGCTCGAGAAACTGCGTTTAAAGTCCGGCGCGGGAAGATCCTCGATGGAGCTGTCAGAGACCCATTCATTAGCGCCCTGGAGGAGACGTGAAAGTAAAACACGCACCGTCCACGCTCACGATCGAGTTTATCTCCCATAGATTTGGACAGCTTGCGGAATTCGCGCTTGGATTTGGCGTTATCAGAGTCTACCATGAGGCTTTGCAGGTGCCACAGTCTGTACAATAGGCGTTAGCGTAATGGCCAAAGAGCGAAAGTATCAGAGAACACAGGAAAGGCTGTACAAGATAGGAGCCGGAGGGAGGAGGGGGAGATTCCACAGAGAAGGATTGGCTGAGCCGCAGGAAGGAAGAGAGCATACGTAGAACAATGGACAAACGTGGGACAAGACATGATAGATGAACAAGAAGAGCAAGGAAGACAAGAAACCTACCGCCAGGCAAGGTTCTCCAGTCGGTCTCCTTGTTCGAGGTAGCTCGCTACTTTGGTACAGACCTAGCGCATGTGAGCAGGCAACACGCGAATGGCGCGATAATGCGCACCTTCCACGTCTTGGTCAGACTCTCCGCGTCGTTGACGTTGCTGAAAGGGACGAAGGACTTGTTGCCCTGATTTGCAGAAGAAAGGGCATCGCAATCGTAGGTCGCGGGGCCAAGATGAACCAATGGTCAAAGGACAGCGAGAGGTAGGAGGCAGACGGTTTCGTGAGCGTTGATGGAGTCGTTGTGGACAAGTGGAAAGCGGCAAAGTGAGTACAGTCCCAAAAAGGAAGCAAGAGACGACGGGCCACAGTCAGCGTGCGACGCGTCGAGCGGGCAAAACACGGACCTTGAATTTGAGATTGAGGATGGCAGATGGCATTGTGGGGTGTACGTCGTCGTCGTGAGCGTCAAAGGAAAGCGTCAATAGTCGTGATGGAGCTGTGAACGCGGACGCGGAGTCTGTCAACACAAGTGACTTCTGCTCCATATCAATCGACTCACACTGCGAGTCGGAGCTGTTGCCACTGGTTAGGCAGAACAGCAGGATACAGAGGAGAGTGGTGGTGGTCTGAGCAACTACTGTTGAGTGATAGATGTCGCGCTTTTACCGGATGCTAAATCCAATTTACTCCCAATCAAGAAGGCCGAGAAGATGCACACGTTGCTGTTTCTGACTGTTCTGTTCCTTCCTCCTTTTCCACGGGCGCCTTTTGTCTGGTGTAAATCGAACCCACCGGCATCGCCTGGGACTCACATAATAAAGTACGTATTAGCCGAGTCGCGTCGTGTGCGTCGGGTCCCCTTAGACCTCTGCTCCCGCTCCCCTTTCCTCGCGTGTTGTGCTACGAGGGCCAAATAGGGATGGAAACAAGATAATCCGTCCCTGCAATCAAGTTCTCCATCTGCATCTGCGCATCTTCAATCTGGACTCGAGTTCGCCTCGCTGCAATTCTAGGGCAAGGGCATGGCAAGAGCGATCTCTCGCTTAGCTAGCGCGCAAGAGCAGGCAGGCGTCACGGCGCGGCTGTTCCGTGAGCCGTATCACGCGGGCGGCCTCGAGGCGTGCCGATATTGGACCATCTCTGACAACTGGGGTCGCCTTGATATTCTGCGCAACATCTGTCGCCCGATACTCGCACACGGTCTTCTGCCCCTGCCAAATCCCTTGTGCTCTCCACAACACATGTTTTTAATTTTCCTCGGATTCTTCCCAGGGGGGCCTCTGCGCGAGCGACAGCCTCCCAGATATGTCGCTTTCCCTGAATCGGCAGTTTGGGCCCGCGCAACAGTCTCCTCCAGGGGCGGCGGCCCACGACGGCGATGTTCTCACGCAAACCCAATCACCATTGCGTGCCCGGCCTCATGTTGTCCTCCCCAGTATCGAGGCCGCTCTGTCAGTGCACGTTTCAACTATGCTCGCTACCCTCCGACCTTGTCTCGACTGTAAACTTACAGGGCGAGGATTCGCGAGGCAGTGGACTCAAGGTGGATTCGAAGCGTTCCACGCAGGGACGCCACCTGATCGTTTGATTCCTTCTCGTCCGTCTTTGTTCTTTTTCGATGGGACTTATCAAGTTCTTCCTTGACTGCATTTGAGCTGTTAACAACGTGTCTTCTGGCAGGGCGTACGTGTCTGCGCTCCGCAGTCCAGGCTCTGCTGACTTCTCTTGGCTCCAACCCCTCGCTCAAGCGACATGAAGATGTGCTCGGACATACTCCCCGGCCACGGGATTTTTTGCCGGCAAATGTCGTCATCGTCGTCGTCCTCGGACCGCGACCATGTTCTGATCAGTGGTGGTTTATCATATTCCGCCGGCTGCTTCATAAACGGCACTACGACCAACAGACTTCGGAATCTTCCCTGTGGGTCCCCCCCCTCGCGTATCTGGCAGCGGTAAAAAAACGAGGTCGGGTTATTGAGCCGACTTGGAGGCTGGAAATGAAACTGCCGCGCGGAACTTCAGATGTCGGCTACCATATTCATCTCCACAGCACCACAACGGCTAGATGGTATATGCGCTTAGATGATATACGCGCTTATATTTCCACTTTCGACCGCCACTCACGCGTTTTTGGAGGTGCCGCATGGCTTTCAAGCCCAAGTAACGGCACTATCTCTTTATCTTATCTTATCTAAACGTCTCTCATTGACCTTGTTCATGAAGTGCATCAATTCCATCCCACAGAGTTGTTCCTCATGCCCTCAAAGCGGGAGAAGTACAAATCGGGGCCTATGTTCACATGACAGACTTCAATCTTCGGTGATGTGATCTCTCGCCCGTTTCTTCTTGTTTCTGCGAGCTCCGAGGCGTCGAAGCAGTGTGGGAAATCCGAGTCCTCGCTCTCTATCTTGACCATGCAGCTCAATCTAATAAAAGCCCGACATCCGTCGACAGGCCTGAATTCCATGCAATAGGAAATGAAATGAACCGCGGTTACTTGACTGACTGCCAACCGTACGGACAACCCCGGGTCGAACTTGCATCCGGACCTGCCTGCCGGGCCCAGAAGCACGGTCCGTGTCACCAGACTAGGGGAGGGAGACTCGTCTCTGCACACATATCGCTGGACCGCGATGCTCCGCGCCACCGGGCTATATTCAGATAATCAAATCAAAACCTTGATCGTCGTTGTCTGTCGTGTGAGTCCACGACAGCCTGTGAGCCGCAAGGGATGGCGACATTTAACCACTACTTCTGAGGCCTGACGTCCTCGTATCGGGTGCGCTGTCAGTGCACAACGCATCTCGTCGCTTTTTTCCGGATGGTTATCGCCTGTCCCTGGCACGATCCTCCCGGTGAATCCAGCCACGGAATGCTTGGCACAGTCTGTGCTGTATATCTTGCAGCTAGTGAGCGACCGATGCGAGTTCAAATAGCACTCGGTGCTATCCTCTGATCTCCGATTCGAAGGTGGCATCTCGGTCTTACCTGCCTGATCGAAGGCTCGGAAAGGAGATGTTACTCTTTCCGTCCAGATCGATTCGCATGAGAGCGGATGGAAATTATCGATGGAAGATAAGTCGAAGTAACCCTGCACGTTGCCTCGGCGTGTTTTAGCCCTATGTCATGGGTAACGAAAGACCGGACGCTCAGACATGTCAGGCAGAATACTTGGCCGCCAGATTCTCTGCGCAAACGTGCATTCAATGCACAGAAACCAGGTAATATTGAAATGATACTACTACGATACACAAAAATGACAAGAGCATAGATCCTGACGCACTCAAGGGTAGTCAGGCTCTGGGTTATGATCAATCTTCCTTCGTTTTGGCGCCTTCAAGGCCGTGCAACCAGCGAGAACCATCTCAACACTCGAAAACTGCTTCTTCAACGCCTCGTTTTCTTCCTCAAGCTGTCGAATGCGCTTCCGCGATGCAGATTCCGAATTCTCATCAGACTCGGCGGGCCTGCTAGCAGTGGGCTTCATCGACCGCATCTGCACATCAATGCTCGCAATCCAGGCATCCCTTTCGGCGAGCATCGCCTCCACCTGGGCAACACGACTGCTCTTCTTCAACAGCTCGTCTTCCAGCTCCTTCACGCTATCGGTGTGACGCGCTTTCTGCCCGAAAAACGCGCTGTACGCGGTGCGCAGGTGCTGCTGCAGTTTGTCTCTTTCGGTGCGCGTTCTGTCGTACAGCATCTGGAGCTGGCCTTGCGCGTCGACAGTATCAAACGCGGGAGAAGGCTGGCTCGGACCAGGGACAGGCCGTTCGGGCGCCGCTGGCTCTGTCACTTCAGTCGCCGTGACCACATGTTCGGCTGAAGCTCGTCAGTTCTGTACAACGCTCACGGAGGAGCTCACCATCGTCAGCTGGCCGCTGTTCAGGAAGTGTCGGCGGTCGAATGAAATCTGGGGTGACACTCGTTGATGCTTCTGCGTTAGCGTCGAGTTCTGTATTCGGTTTCAAGGGTGAGGGTAAATCGAAGCGAACTGTTTTCTTCTCCTTCAACGCGTACTCGAGATCGGTCGTCTGGACCTCGACTGATGCGTACGTAACATCTACTATGACGTCACAACAGGGTGTTCGACGAACAGTCTGTACTTGCCTCTTGCCTCGAGCTTGAGGTCAGCTAGCATCTCTGTGTGTGATTTTATTGTGCCTGGCCGAGAAGGTCCACTCGGTTCGGAAGGGGAGAGCATTGCATCTGGCGGAGGACTGGAATCTGCGAGAGTCGGTGAACTCGCCGAATCTGCGAGGCGCTGTGAGTGAAATGGAATTCAACCCTGGAAAGAGAAACGCAGACCTGATTCGAGAACAGGCTGCGTGAGATATTTCTCGTCTTCGGTGTGCTGTGCTTTCCAATCTTCAGGCGCCAATGCCTGCCAAAGCTCAATTCCATTCTTAGTCTCTGCCGCGAAACTCACGCTCTCGTAAGCCTGTATAAGGAGTGCCTCGACGGGTTTCCTCCTTCCCCTCCGGATGGCGGTAAGGAACCCCTCGATAGCGCACTTCTCCAATGGTTTCACGTGCATCTCGCTTAACCAACAACTGGACGGAAGAGACCAAGGGCGCAAACATCAGCACTCCGTACCCCCAGAGACGCGCACGAGAAGACGTGCATACGCACTATTCGCCCTCGGGGAAGAAGCGCACCGCGAAGAACCTGTGCGCGCCGCGCGGCCGCTGCAAGAGGATGGACTCCGCCAGCTCATCCTCGTTCACAATCTGCAGCAAACAGGTCAGCACCACCCGCGCGTGCGTGTCCGGTAGGCGGCCGCCGTGCGACCATCCTGATCGACGCACGCACCATGCCCGGCCATTCCGGATACCCCTCCATCTTCCCCAGCACCACGTCGTTCCCCACGAACTTCGGCCCTGCGGCTTCCAGCGCGCGCAGCGAGAGCCTCTTCGCGCGGCCGCTCGTGCGTGCCTTCTTCATCCTGAGCCCATCATCCGGTGATCGTGTTGGGGGGGTATCTAGCAGCGCCATTCCGGGAGGGAGCGGAGGGGCGTCAGGCCGGCGGGTGAGGGAGAGCAATGTGGGGGTCTGCGGCGTTTCGCCGGTCTCGGTAGGGTGCAGATGGGATGGGCGCGCCGCAGACTGTGCGAAGCGGGGCAAGGTCGGGGAGAGGACACGGTCACGCCACGTGGTACGCGTGAGACAGCTGATGTGACTGCGAAAATGCCTCTTCTTGAATCTCCGACCATCTTCCTGTGTGATTCAAAGGCGTACAATACTGAGGAGTAATCCCACCCCCTTTCGAGCGTCCGTCAATAAGATAGGAAAGTGGTCTCATCCAGCTTGCTGCGCGTCCAAAGGCCCGTAGTCCTTCCTTGTGCATGTCCGATCAGCTGCCATAACGGGAGGATGGGAAGCTCTGAATTTGGGCGGAATCCGACTGATCATTGATGCGACTTGGGGCGGCTTTCTAACGCTAATCTCACTCCCCGAAGTCCTGATGGCATCCCAACCTGGTCTCTCTCTGTGCCAATCGAGCATGCCAGGCATACCATGTGAAGGCGATCCGGGCACATTCGCGCTGCACCGCGCACTAGGAGTCTTGTCGGTCTGTCGTCGCTTCCATCAACGCCGGGATTTCAGACCAGTTGTTGAGCATCCGCGGCCGTTGCCATTCTAGCCTTCGAATGCGCTGCAGAGATCTTGCTCTCGCCCGTCATCTCCAAGCCACTGCTTCGGCTTCGATCGTTTCTCCTCAGACACACACTGCCCGGTGTGCGTGGCCAGAGCACATGGCCCTTTATCCCAGAAGTCTCCAGCTTCGCTGGCTAGCCGACCCGTCATGCCAACGGCCGGCGTCCCACTCCGTCTCTTGTGCCCAGCGATGGAGTTCCAGACCTTGGCGTCCACTTCTTGGACTAACATAGTTCTCCGTTGCGCCTGCGCGATGTGCTACTGACATTGCTCGTCAGTACCAAACGCTGGGTGCGGTTCGATGCGAGCCGACTCTCCGGTCCTGGGCAATGTGAACGCGGTGGAATGGATCGGTTGGGGACAGACACCTTGAATGTTCCAAGCTCTAGAGTGAAGGGGTGGAATGCTGCATTGCAATGTGTAGAAGTGATAACGTCCAGTTGCAGGCGCTGAATGGCCGGTCGTGCGAACTAGCTGTCTCAAAAACGAGCCCTCGTTGCGAGTAAGATGAGCAGGCTGTGCTGACCATCTTTCTTGTTTCATGTGCATCATCTAACGTCGCGCAAATGTACTGCGCAAGCTCACTCGGGACGCGAAGTGATTTCCATCATTCATTGCATTGCATTCATGAAACCCATCGCCCAATATTTAGAACAGGACGCGACTAATTTAGCTGTGGGTGATGGTGATCTTGGCGTTCGTCGCGCCGTTGGTGTTGACGGTGGTGGTGAGGTGGTCCTGGCTGCTGCTGACGGTGGACCACTTGACGGACGGAACAGCTCCGCTGGCGAGCGAGAGGTTGATGTTCGAGAAGACGGTCGAGCCAGAGGCGAAGTCGTTCTGGGAGGCGACGGAGTAGACCTCGAGGGTCTCGGTGGCCCAGGTGAGCTGCGCGGCGCCGTTGACGGTGAGGGAAGTCGAGCCGACGTTGGTGAACGACGAGACGTAGTTGTAGCTCGAGCCCGAGTGCGACTTGAGGGTGATGATGCCGTTCAGGTTGGCACCAGCGCTGACGCGGACCGGGTTGGTGTACATCACGCTGTTGCCGACGAGGTACCAGGTGGCGACAGCCCAGTAGGAGCCTCCACCAGCGGCGGACGAACCGTACTAGTCGCGGGTCAGCCTTTGTCAAAGGGCGAAAAACGGCCAACACGAACCTGGAGCACGGGCTGGAGGATGGCGTTTCCGGAGGTGGGCTCGATCGAGTTGAAGTAGAACAGGGTCTGGCCGTCGTCGGTGGGCGGGACAGCAGGGACGGTCCAGCTGGTGGTGAACGACGCGATCGCGTCGGAACCCGAGTTTTGCCACGACGCGTAGGCGACCCAGCCAGTCGGCAGGGGCAGCACCGCATCAGCGTTGACCTTCGTCGGGGTGGCGAACTGCGGGGTCACGATGTGCACGACGCTGCCGGCCGCGTCCAGGACGTGGACTTTGTCCTCGACGTGCGAGACACTGCCGCCCTCGGGAACCTGGTAGAAGTTGGTCTCTGAGCGCGCACGGTAGCCACCCGGGACGAGGACGTGCTCCGAGGGCGTCGGGACCGCAGACGCGAAGGGCGCAACGGCCGAGAGGATGGCGAGAGCAACAAAGGCGAACATCGTAACTGCGAGGAAGAATCGGCGTTAGCTCTTCTGGTTGTCAAGGACGACTTACCAGCTGACTGGGTCAAGTGCGAGGTACCGACTGAGGAACCGTGAGGATGGACGGGCCCCCAGCCGCCTTTTATTGCTGCACGGAGGAGGATCGCATTGAATTACGATGATAAGGCGACATGCTCTGCCGAAGCAACCCCGGAATTGCGAAGGTTGCAGCCATATGATTTCTGGCGACGAGGCTTCGGAGCGATCAGACCTTTCTTCGAGATATGCGATAAGTGTGTGTGTGCGGGCTCCCGGAAACAATTCCTTTGATGGATGGTCCTGCTGGAAACGCGCCGGTCGGCGGGCGGGACCAGGGCACCGAGATCTCGACGAAGAGCGGGCTGCTTGCGTCTGCATTTGACGACGGAAGGTACGCGTCGCCCAAGTGCACAAGAGTATCTTGAACGATCGGATGCTCAGTTCCAAGCCTTCGCTGCGGCCTCGTGAACCTGAGACTAGCAATTTTGGAGTGATCTGTCGTCGTTACATCGCGAGGTTACTAGGTTAAGAAGCCGCTTCCATGCGATAAAGTGCACCGCCACACTCGGGTCCGCGTGGCGCTGCGCAACAGATACTGTGTCACAACTTGTCACACCGATATCAGCTGAGGGTTGAGCCATATGATAATCGCCACAATCGCGCCCCGTACGAGAACTCTAAACAGGGTTTCTTAGGAAATGCTGCTCCTGCCGTTTCGAGCTGAGCACACGAGTCCCACCGACAGACCGCTCTATTACATGTACCCAGATAATTATCCTGTACGTCGTCATAAGTACCAGCGCGTCCGAGCCCGGTCTTCTGACGCCTATGAGTCGTGACAATCTCAGACATCAAATGATGATGCCGACTCGCAGAAGCTGCAGAACGGTCCAGGGCTCTGGATTCTTTCTACAGATAACAGAACCGTGTGGCCGTCGTCGACGCTCCAGGTAGCTCACGGCTCATTCTCGGTCATCCTGACCCTGACCGGAGCGCGATCCGCTCAGCGAGAGAGCGGCTCTAGATCCATGGACAGAAATAATCCCGCTGCTTTCTAATCATCTAGACAATCAACGGCACCGTTATCAAACGTTTATTCTGGCGCGAAGCGCGAATCAGCTCCGCTGCAAGGATCTTCGAAGCCCGTCGACACATGAAGCCACATCTGACCTCCCGTGAATTGAGCAGATCCCCGCGTGGATTGCAGGCTCGGGAGATGTCCGTCCACACGCTCTCGGGGCAGATGACAGAGATTATCGAGACCGGCGTGCCCGACCCCGAGTTTGACGACCGCCCATGGGCGGCCGGGGAATGACGAAAGGGTCGGAGAAAGCGCCGCATAGGTCCGTGGGAGCGCTTGAAGGCCAGGACACGAGCTGCGGAGCCAACGGCTCGGACCCGGAAGCGCATGGAGAACACAGAGCACGAGCCCTGACCCAGCTGCAACCGGCTCCCTTTATCAGGAGCTTACGGTCTTGGAGAACAGCTAAGTAGTCCAACGAGCGAAGCCTCTGGCAGCTGTTCGTTCCCTGTCTCATCTGAACGCTCCCCCTGCCCAACTCTCATTTACGTACGTCGACCTACGTCGACACTAAACAAGCATCGTTCTGTGCCCACATGGGCCGGTTCCGATCACCCTTCTCATCGAATCCGCACAGCGGCCGAGAAGAAATACGCACCATCCGTTGATCGGCCATCATCTTGTTCCACAGCACACTCACCGTGCCTCTTAGTAGGATTCGGCTGCCTGTGCGAATGTCGTGCAGAAAACAGCACCCGGTGGGAGCTCGAGACGCTCGAGGCCTACTTACATCGAACATCTACGTGCAGCTTGTCAACTCCACTGCGTGGTTCGGAATTCCCGGCCCTTGCTCAGGATCTGCTCCATCCAGTTACTTCAGCGCCTATCCTCCGAGTCTGCTTACTTCCATCTGCCTCTGTCGATCGAGCCAGCTGACCGGATGTGAGTGAGAGTTTGCTCTGTCGCCAAGGACCAGCAGTCATGACGAAGTCCAGAAGCGGCGCATGTCGCGTGGACCAAATCTGCTCTATATAGAATATCCTGATTCTAGCGCTCGTATTGAGGGTGCAAATCTATCAGGTTGAGAACCGCTTCCAAGATACGATGGGTTCCTCCCGGCACTGCGTGGTGTTTACTGCAGGTGGCCCTCCTGTTGGCCCGGCTCAGGTTCTAGATTTTCGAATCGGGCGTCATTGGCGAAGGGTGATTCTTAGGAAAGTTGACCAGCGGAAAATTGTCATTGCCAGGGTCATAGGCTGTAGAGGAGCAGCTCAAGCCCAGGGAAGTGTGATATGCATAGCGAGCCGAGATAGAGGCGGAGAGAAGGGTATTGTAGAGTTGGGGATAAAAGAAAAAGCGAGCACCACAGGACTCGAACCTGTAACCTTTTGGTGACGGAAGAAGGCATCGAAGCCAAACACGCTAGCCATTGCGCCAGGCACCCATTCTCGGCCTCTCAATGGGCAATGATACTACCCGCACCAAGCAGTTCAGCGGTGTTGTGCTTGGCCCGCGCAACTCGTTGATCTGCTAGTCAGTATTCTGAGAGCCAATTCAGATCGGATTTACAGCCCTGAGGTCATCACATTACTATTTAACCATGCGAAGTGGTCGTTCTGCGTTGCGGACCACTTGGATACCATACATATTCAAGCTCTGGATCGTGCTGCCTGAATCCGTCCGATCAGTTAAGTTGTCGCTGACACCATCGGCCATCAACGTATGCGTCGCAGCAGTTGTTACCTCCGCGTCTTTTTAATTTGAGTCTCATTCTCTATCCAAACCACGGGCCGAATGCTCTTTCCCGCCCGGAGCCCGGTGGCTCTTCGGCGAGCTCATAGCGCTTTGGGTGAGCCTTGGACACTTCAGCGAGCAGGATCAAGGCGCTTAATCCTCATTGAAGTTTCAGATTGTATTCCAATCTCTGTGCTTGGACACTTGACGAGTAGGGGGGCAGGTATAACAGAGATGTTCGTCTTTCTGGAAGACGGAAGACTCGTTACAGCTGCTATCCACGCTCAGCGTGTTATCCTGGTCGTTATCCATCAGACCCTCGGTGTGTGACTCGAAATATTCTTCTCTCGTGGCCTTGAGAAATTTACTCGATACCGTTTCTCAAAGACAAAAAGCTCGAAGTCTCCACGGCAAGCGGGCTTTCCTGATCGTCAACTCATTTCAAAACATCCATTCCTAAGGAAATACGAGATCATCTATCCATAATCAGAACGTGTTCGAGCTCCTCACGGCCTCCCATAGCATCCCCGACGCGGGTGAGAGGGTCCTCACTATCGTCGATGGCCAAGTGAGCTCGCTCGTCGTTACTGCACTCCCGCCGCCAGTTCGGTCTGCCCTGGCAGGGTTCGGATCATTTCAGCCAGGAGGTGCTCGACAGCGTTAGTCACGTAACCATCCGTCTGGACTTTCTGTGTGATAACTGTCGCTAGGTCCCGAGCCACCGCTCCCAGCTCGGCTCACTTCGTTCGCGCAATAATAAAGACTTCGCTTTTCGCGGAAAAGAAAGGCCCTGGAGAGGGCATGCACTGCTCCTCATCCCCGGTGCTGGGTCTTAGGCGTATTCAAGACATGGTGGCCACCGTCCGGACTCCCCTTACACTGATGCCATGCGCGTGAAAGTCCGTTGCATAAGGGTGCTGCTCCGGAAGCTTTTGGGATTGAGAAGAAGGTCCCCGAATTTATGACGGTCCGCTCCCGATCAAGCTTGTGTACTTCAAGTGGTCATGAAGATTTGAGACTGATCGGCAGCTCTGTAAGCAAGCACCTCTCCACTTCGAGCATTCTCTGGTGGATCCCCGTGTGGTCTTGATTCTTGAAACGCCGAGATGACCAGACCTTTTTTTTCTCTATGATCTCGAACTGATCCCCTGCCTAGGAACGCGCGAGTATCATGCAAAAGGCAGGCGTGGATTTACTTGCTTTGTGATTGAGAGTTTCAACCCAAAACCAACGGAGTTTCAGTGGGATTTAGATGCGATAATGATGAAGCAAAATGTTCCCGGATTTAAACCCGCCAAATCAGGATGAACAATCTCGGTATTGAACAGTTGAAAATCCTTCGTAAGCTTCTAAGGCGAGGCGAATTCAGAACGACCTGAAGGAACGAGTCCAGGTGCTCTTCGCAAGAGATGTTTTCCAATTGCACGATCGAATATGTACTCGACACATAGTCTCTCGTCAAGCGTGCTCAATCAATCTCTTTCAGTATTACCGCATCCGATCATTACATATTACAGCCACACCCGCATAGTACAAAAATAGCTCGGGCACCAAACATCGCGCAATAAAGATAGCCGCTTATCGATGAGCGGTGGGTGTGCGCCGGGCAGTGCCTACAAGACACCTCCGACGGCGCTCCCGGCGGGAGCCATGTGCGCGGGACCGTCACTCGCCTCTTGGGGCACCGCGACAGGGACCGAGGGCACGTCCTCGGTCTTGGCTTCGTGGGACTTATGGTGGGCGTGTCCGTGCGGGTGGATGATCTTGTCGACGATCGCGCTGACGCCGTGTTTCTTGTGCGGCTCCTTGGAGGGGACGTCAGGGCCTGAGGGAGTGGAGTCGACCGCGCCGGGCACACGTACCTCTGCGATCACCGGGGCAGTGGTGGTCGTGGTGGTAGTGGTGGTAGGCTGGAAAGAAAGGGATCAGCCATGAAGAGAGAAAGGAAGTCGGAGAGAGCGTACTTCAACTTGAGTGGAGTCAGTCATCGTAGAGTGGATTAGCTGGGAGATGCAGTCGGGCGATGCGGCCTTTTATATCTTCGGGCTGCCATCATGACACAAGAGTTGATATCGATGTTGCATGTGCTCCCCACCATGACCGGTGGGTGCTTGTGATAAGAACTAGTCTCATTAATTCCGTATTGCATGGTGATCTTGAATGAATAGAAGAATAGAGACACCAGTCCTCCCGTACAACGTATGAATATTTCGAAGATATTCTCCTGTGCATACTTCTCATTTCACCTTCTACGATTCTCAAAACTGGACGGATACGCACGGATCGTCTTGTGAGATGTTGTGACGTCATTATACGTCATTCACTCTCTACGATCATGTGATCGTCCAGCAATTGTGGGAACCTTCCAGTACGTTCCTAACAGAGTGAAAAGTGAGTGAACTCTCGAGTTTAGCAGCCAAGTGCAATAACCACGTGCGCAGAGCTCCTTTCACAGAGGGGTGCCCAAATCATCGCGATCAAATGGATCAGTTCCATCACTTGCATTGACCGCATGTCCCGCCCACCCCCACCCCCACACACAGCGCAAGCTGCACGGACCGCGCCCACCATGCCCCTCCCCCAATTAATCCACCCGAACTGCCTGCTCTCCGTCTCGCACGACGCCGACGACGGACTCGTGAGCGTGCTCCTCCCGCAGCAGCGCACGGACGGCTTCCCCGGCCAGATCTTCCACGCGGCACGCCTGAGCGAAAAGGTCGTCTTCTCTCCGCTTCTGCTGGATCCGCACGTGAATCTGGCGGCGGGCACGGGCAAGGTGTTCTCTGGGTGCCTGAGCATGGAGGGGCCCGCGCAGCAGCTGCTCGGCGGCCCACAGCCTCAGCTGGTCCAGTGCGCGCTGGCGGTGAAGGAGCAGGTTTTGTCTGAGACGCATGGCCTGGTGGTGGGGTGCTGAGGTGAGTCTGAAGAGGCTCCGTCGTCGGTGTGGGCGGCTGAGATGTAGCCTTGAAGAACGGTGTGCGCGATCCGTGGCGAGGGGGAAACCCTCGAATTCACGTTGACGCGGTATGAATTCCAGAGAGTTGCTGGTGACTGGGTCATCACGGTGCGTCTGCACTCTGCGCACCATTGCTCATGTTCCCGTGTGCCAACCATGTGCACAGATCAGCGTGGGCCAGCGGGTGCTGGGCGGCCTCCAGGCGCATGCGGACGGTGTGTTCTGGATTGGCACGCCGGATTTACGGTACCCGCCGCATGGGCGCATCTTCGCCGTCGCTGCCGCTACACTTGTGGGGCCAGATCTGAGGGAATTGCCCTTTCGCCAGCCGACAGGGCCCTGGCCACAGTTGTTTCCAACGCAGTCTGATCCGTATTCGTCGGAGCTAGTGGGTAGATGCAACATTATTGGTTTGCTTGTGGCGTGTATGTCGACATTCCAAAACTGTCCTCATGAATCGTACAGACATTGAATCGCCGATCACTCACGATGAGGGCTGCTCCAGATCAGTCCGGCATTCATTCCTGTTTGTGCTGATGCGCGCGCTTGATTAAGTTCACGGAAGTATTATGAAACTCCACCCTTTGACACTTGGACACGCATCGAGCCCCAAGTGGGAACTTGACTGACACCCTCTGATCAAATCACAGACCCATCTTTGTGTTCAGCGTCCCACCTTTACAAATGAGTCTATAGTTCCTGATGTGCCGGCGCCATACGCCGCAGTCATCGCTTTTTGGGCGACGGAAAAGCACAGACTGCTCGGGACGAAATCCGCTGCGTATTATCGAGTTCGCGCCGTCCACCAGCGCCAAGCTTTTCGCGCTCTGCTGTACATCGAACGCGCCCTAAATCCGTATCAGATCGAATACTCACCAATCAGAGAGTGACGGTGACAGTGTGACTCTACTTTGCGCGCCTTGGGCCGCTTGGCACGTCCTTCGGGCCGTCAACAAATTTGACATCCGTGCCGGAACGCCAACGATTCTATGCCTGTCACGAAAGCGGCTCTCTCTCACTCACGCCCTCACTCCCTTTCCCTTTTCCTCTCCTCTCCTCCTCCCCCCCTTCGACTATACCGCTGCCGCGCCTCGCGTTCCCAGGCGGCCGGATGGGAGAGACCTATGACATTCCGCTGACTCTCGGCGCGTTGTTGGTCGGCGGCTCCGTCGCGCTATTGTACGTCACCCTCATCTCAGTCGCCCCTTCAGCGCCCACTCGAAATACGACAGTCTGAGCGGAGTCGTCGCCGTGCAATGCATCATCTTCTTCAAGCTGTACCCCGGCGAGGGCGTCCGGTCGAGGGCGATGGTGTTGAGCGTGTGGTGCGTGAATTTTTCGGGTGCGCGGGGTGGGTGCGCCGGGACTCACACACATCCAGGCTGTTGGATTCGCTGCACTCGGCATTCATCGTCACGTCGCTGTATATATACTTCATCCGATTGTTCGGAGATGCTTCAAAGACCTGTTTATTCCCTGGTGCGTGCTGCTGTGTTGATCTGCTTTTCTACGTGGCTCAGGGCGCATTCGCAGGTCTATCGGCGTGCGTGGGCTCGTTTCATACTCAAGATCTGAAGGACTGACGAAGCACCGAAGCTGTCGGTGTAGTAACGGTGTGTTTCTCCCTCAGCTC